ACCGGATATCTGTCTTCCTGGCTCTCACTACCTAACATGGGTTTAGCTTTGCCATTTTCATTATACTGCCTTCCTTCGTCTGCTCGGTTCGGATCTCCTGCCTCATCTCCGTCCACCGATACATCAGCGTCTGGGACTCTCTGGGTGGCGCCTGCCGTGATGCGTTGGCAGCTGGCCAGCTTAAAACAATCTCAGCCTCTTGCCATGGACTAAACTATAAGACCAGAATAGTGACTAACATGGTCGTTATCATCCACTTCCAGAAAGACGTGGTCACTAACCTTTGGTCTCCTCCTGCAGAGGTTCCTGCCTTAGACGCTGACGCCACTCACTCCGGATCAGTTTTCAATGAACGTTTTGAAAAATCTAACTGTCCGCTTTGAATATTGGATCCTTCCGTTCTGAGCTTGACAAAATGTCTCTTTAAGGTAAATGACATCACAGTTGGACAATGTCTATAAACCCTATATGAAGCTCATGCAGAGCTAGAGTGATAGACATTTTTTAAGCGCAAAGTATCACTTCCACAGATTCTTCCTTCCAGCTGCTGTTGGACTTCAATACCATCACTGCTCCTTACAGGCCCAGTATGTGTTTGCACACAGGCTGCTGGTTGAACAGGTTTTTGATCTTATCAGGAAATCATTTGCATTCTTCTAATCCCTGTAATGTGTCTTACAGACGTTCATGGATGCAGATTTACCGTAGGACTGTTTATTTTCCTGATCTGGAAGTGTTTAGTGTTTTTCATGAATATGGCACAGTTTTGTGATTCTGGATGTTAACATCCTTCCTTTTTAACAGGAATTTGTCTTTATTAATAGCAATTTTAGTCTTTTTTCTTCCTCTCTAACATGTGCTTCTGTTATCTGCTACTGTAAAGTTGAACTTCAATTTTGTTTATTTTTATTTTTGTTTTGTCTTCTGTCCATTTTTTTTATTTTCCCTGTCCCCATACTAGAAGAAAACAGGCAATATCTACAAATAACAGAGTACCGGCTAAATATCATTTAGCACATTATATAATTTTGGTGTATTTTTGCTTTATTTTATACAGCTAGATAGATGTATACATAGTATACAGTACAGGTGACAAGCAATAAAAACAACATCATATGTACATAAGGGAAAAAAGTAACTCTGCCAGGTCCTTGTAGAGCAAATGACAAATTGATAGGAATTCATTGCAAAAGTACAAACATAGAGAACACCAGGTTCTAATACAACAGGATTGTAAAATTAAACACATTAAGATTTTGTTTTTGCGAGCTTCAACTCAAAGAATTTAACTAATTGTATAATAGAAAGTAAAAAATAAATTTCACATTTAAATGCTTTGTCAAAAATCAAAATTCACCTCTTTCTTGTTTACTTCAACAACTTAAACATCATCTGAGCAAAAAGCAATGAGAAGATTTTGTCATTGTGAAATGGGCTCTAACAAAAAATGCTTATGCAGAAAACACAGAGACAATATGTCCGATACCTTTGATAAAGAGTCATTCTGAGGCTAAATGAGGTCAGAGAGGCCACACCCAGGTCAGTTTCCAGTGCAATCAGAAATGGCTAATATTCGTCATTGTCATGTTACACCCAACCTATTGTGACCTGATTTCACTTTTAATCAGGAAAGCCTTACATGCCACACTGTAAACACAGCTTTTCTCAAAGCGACAGTATTAAGCAAAGCTCTCTGGCTGCTCTATCCGTTTCCAGGCATCCCCAAAGTCAGTCCTGGCAGGCTGCTGTCCTGCAGGTTTTAGAGGTTTCTCGGCTTCAGCACAGCTGGATTTAATGATAGCAGTTTAGCAAAAGCCTGTTTATCAATCATTAATGTAAATCAGCTGTGCTGGAGCAGAGAAACCTCTAAAACCTGCAGGACAGCGGCCGTCCAGGACCGACTTTGGGGAAGCCTGGTTTAAGCTGTAGAGAGCAACACATACTTTAAGACCTTTTCAAAGGGGCTTCATCAGATTTTAGATTTAGTCAAACTCTGAATCTCACCCTTGTAAGCTGGTTATAAGATTATTATTGATGCACCTATTTTTCCAAAAGCTGCCAGCAGGTGTATTAAGTTCCCCCAAAGGGAAACAAATGCATGATTTCTCTGAAAGTAGATTTTTATTACCAGTCTGGAAAGATCACTAATATTGTTGTATTTTTTCATACACATTGAGGATGTGCCAAGAATCTCTTAGAAAAATCTCCAATCTGGTCCTCGCCAGAAATGAACCAGCACCATGTGATGGCAGTAAGTTTGGTTGGAAAATTTAGATTTCTCTTATTTCATATATTGATTTTTTCCCTCAGTCAGTTTCACCTGCAAGGCCACACAATTCCCCTGCTTGAGGGCTGTTTGTAGAAAAGACATACCTTCTTCCCATAACAAACCAGATTATTTCTCAATGTTTATTCATAACATGTTACTGTTTAAACAAAGTGTCTGTAATTTGTTTGACTCTGAATACTTTCCATTATTGTAAGTATGGGGGAACGAATGGGGCCCAGATCAGAACAGGGCTGATTACTGGGCGTGCAATAAGGGCTGCATGATGAACTGTTCTCTCTTGCAAAGATAAAAATAAAGTGCAGACTGATTGAAATCTATCAATCCCCATTTATTTAACTGGGGTGAATAGTTGAATACTTTTTCCCCAAGACAGTAAGGCACCCTTTTTCAGTTCATTGTAGCAATTCTGGTGTTTTCTTTTTCTTTCAAAGTTATAAATAGGACCCTCTGACTGACTGCGAGGAACTGTTAAAGCTCTCCTGGAAGCACCGCGCTTGACCATACTTCGCCTGCCCAGTAAACAACATGCCCACTTTCTCATACCAGTGAGTGCAAAAGCTGCACAATTACACTATATGTTCCCATTTCAGCTAAGTCGTGAAAATAGGTTTTTCGGCTGTGAGAGGTCTGGATTTGATCAGCCTTTCTAAAAAAGGGCCAGATTGCTAAAAGTGGTCCAATACCGCTGCTACAGCAGCTCTAAGGCGACATGGGGAGAGGAGAGAATCATGGGGAGAGGTGGCGTCACTGAAGGCAAATCTCTTTCTTCCAGTTGGAAAACCATCTAATGCTTCATAACAAATTAATACTGCTTAGTTCCAAATGGCCTATTTTATCATTTATATGCCTATTGTTGACTTGGGAAGGCCTAAAAAAGCATAACGTCAAACCTTTCAATGTTTCAGGCCATTAAGTAAGATTTTATAAGACAATGGTAATCTGAGTAAGCGCAACATTGGGTTTTCAAAGGATGATCTTATAAAGGAAAGAAGAAAACCTAACAAATCAGCTCCAGGCATAAATATAACTGCACCACACCGTGAAAACTGAATTACTGTAACTGTTATCAGCTACATTTTTGGTTCATCGCAGAAAAAAAAAAGAGCTTTGCTCAAGTACTTTTTAACCCCTTAAGCCCTGAGAGTCTTAGGAGAAAATTCAGCCTGAAATTGCACATGTAAATAAATAAAAGTATAGCTCCCAAACTATAAATTCGAAATACAATTGTTTGTATTTGTATGACACAAAGGCATTGAGGAATATTTTTCAGGTTGCACCAATTTTTTCATGTCACCATGTCTGATTTATAGGTGATTAAACAAAGAAAAAAATGAAAAATATTAAGCCTCAACAATTTTTTTTTCCAAAAGAAACTGCAAAAAACCATGAAAGCCAATTTGAAACTCTGAAACTCAGACTTTATAGATCCACGTCTCCACTAACCTGACTCCGCCAGATGGATTTGCTCCGCATATCCATCTGGAAACCTTCCGTTGCAGTAATTTTGGGAAGGGGCGAAAATATTGGTTAGCTGATTGGCCTATGTTGGTGATAGACGGGCCAAATAAACCAATCAGATCAACGAAGCATATGACGTACTAACAGAGCGACGACGAAGAGGAGCCAATTGATAGATCAAACTCTTGCAGAAACCAGTCGGGAGAAGAGCAAAAACATCTTTTCCTCTGAGAAAAGCCTCCAGAGCAGTGTTTTGCTCTTCTTTCAGTGAAGAAATACTCTGTAATTCCCATAAAACTTGCTCGATAGCCACGCTAACGCTAGTTTCATCGGCTGAAGCCACCATGTTCTTTAGACTGAACTGTCGCGCTTCTCGTTGCGTAGCACCTCAACCCGCCTCAAAGCCAACGCTGATTGGACGTTCGTTTGGTGAACGGCTCCAAATTTTCTTTAACGGAGAGTCTCCAGACTGATCTGCGAGTGAAACCTTGAAAGCTCGCGAGATCAGGATGGTCTCATGAGGCTACATCTTCACTATAACTCAAGCAAATTTAGACTGAATAAGTTGAAGCATGTTTGTTCCACAAAGGTTTTAGTGGGCAGTGTGCTTGGCGGAAATAGGATTTTGAAAGCTGTGTGGATGAAACACCGTGTGACTGTGTTTTGGCAATTCCTATAAATAGATAAAGAGGAGCAGGTGTCTGTTGGGCCTGGTACCGGGCCCACTGGGGTTGAGGGGTGAAAGTTTTTTTTTGTAAAATAATCTTTGGGTCATTTATTGGGTTTCTTTTTACTCTAAACACACCAAACACAGGTCATACTTCTAAATCAGAAAGATATTTTTCAGGAAGGTCTCTCTCTTTCTTATCAAGGCTGGTCATTGAAGGCAGATTATTGGTTAAAAAAGTGTATTTTGATATGTAAACTATTATATGAATCTGTTTTCCTGTGATTCAAACCCTATTTGAACTCACTAGGAAAAACACAGCTTTATTTCCCAAGATGGCTTAGTGTGAAATTGGACCAGAACTTATTACCAGCACTAAACAGGATTGAATCAAACAGCTGCCAGCTGTGCAACAACAAAATATCTCAAAACAACGAGAAGAAAAAAACATGGTTCCCAGGCAGGCGGGACAAGCAGCTGATGTCTGCCTGATGTTTTTCTGTTACTGTCAACCACAGCATTATTGATTCAATAATATCAAGCCTCAACTTTAACTTGGAAAAAATGACGTTATAAAAATTTGCCAATACTCACGCAGGGCATTGGCTCTTTGATTTATATTGAGGCATACAGATAATAAAGCTCATCCTGAAGTCAGGGTTCTCCCTCATGTCTCACCAAACGCTCTAGTCTGGCGTAAAACTCAGTGGTTTGGGAACGTCTAATTACTGATGCAGACATTTTTGAACAGTACTCCCTTTGACAGCTGGGCAAAGTAACAACAATATACATACCACGTCTTAAGAGAACACCCATACATCCTGGTATGTCCAGATGGAGGTAGTCTAACATAAATGGAGACCTTTGACTGATGGGCTTGACGTTTCTTGCCTTTAGTAGATAACTTATTTTAAGACAAAGGTGAATCAAAACCCATCACATTTGATTTGATTCAGGAGTTTTTGCAACTGACATTGCAGTGGAATCATATTGATATTTTGAGACATATTCACTTGATCTCAGTAAATCCTTTGGATCTGTGTTGCACTAGCATGGCATCAAGTTACAGAGGTCCAGTTCCTGAGGCTTCCTCTTGCCAGAGCAGTGGTTTCTGGGCAGATTTAGGCCGTTCTCAGTTATGCAGCGCACTGGGCGTCTTTTAAAGCCTCTCCCACAGGACTTTGAGCACGGAGACCAGGTCCCTACATCCCACATGGGACATGGATCACCACACGCTCTTATTGCTTCAGGCCTTTTAGCACTGTCACAATCTGTTGCAAGACGTCCTTCTGTGCTCTGGCACTGTACCAGCCTCTTCTGGAGACCGTTCCCACAGGTCACTGTGCATGAATCCCATGATGATGTTACCCAGTGGCTAATAGGTCTCTTACCCATCACCTCGTTCTTATTTTTGGTGTTTTTCTCATCTGTCAGGACACTGTTTTGTGATTTGTGGCTTTTCTCCTCTTTCCGTAGAACCTTGTCCTCCTTACGCTCCTTTGAGATGTAGAAAGAGTAGCGGATTCTCGGCGGAGTCATCTTCCCCACAGAGAGCACCTCCACCGTTAGCGGCTCTTGCAGAGGTCTGGTAGCCTGGAGAATCTCAACAGATGTGGATGTGCCACTGTAGCGCAGCAGGCTGCCTTTAAGTAGCATGTCCCTCTCTGCGGCCGACACCACGTAGTTTCCATTCAGAAGGTAATTTCCATGCCTATCCTTCACAGCGAGGTAGTTTTCATCACTGACCATTCCTCTGTACCCACGTTGGCGGATGTCAATATTGGAGGCTCCGACGGGCAGCGTCACCACAAAGTTGTAGCCGTTACTGAAAAATCAAAAAAAGAACATATTTAGTGGTAAAACACAAAGATTAAATACTTTGAGTTAAAGAGCATGTTATCTATATAAGTAGAGGTGTCAAAAGTATTAATGTTTATCACTCGAGTAGAAGTATAATTCCAACTGTAAAAAATCACTTTTCTAGAAGTTAGAGGATCAACTTAAGCTTTTTACTCCAGTAAAAGTGTAAAAGTACCATTTTTAAAACTACTTACAGTATAAAAGTAAAAGTAATGCAGTAAAAAATGTTAAGAATTTTTTTTTACAATTCTGTAACGTCCTCGTCCTTTGAGCTTAGCATTCCAGCCTTTTTGCCTGTTAGATTTAGCGTTCTAGGGTTTTGACCCCTGCTTGGATTTGGACCTGTCTTTGTCTCTGTTTTTTGATACTTCTGTTTCTGCTGGTTTTTTGGTGTTCAAACCCATTGGACTGAATTAAAGGAACTTTGAGTTTTAATCCACTGTGTCAGGTCTTGCATTTGAGTCCTTTATTTCTGAGCCTTGTGAAAAACAGTATCAAATTTAACTTTGCTTCACATTGAAAAACTATTTATTTTGGTATGTGGAGAACAACAAGTTGGGGCAGAACCGAGTCCGACCACAAAAAAAATTATCATCTGGATGAAACTAATTATTTTGATGGTTTTTTTGTTTTTGAAATACCAACAGGCCAGAATGAAAATGAACTTAAATGAAATAAAACTAACAAATCTCTTTTCAAGTAGAAAGTAGAGATAATTGCAAAGCAATTTAAGGAGTAGAAGTTAAAATTTTGTCTGAAAAATAATTACTCCAATTAAGTATAGATAGCCAAAATTTCTACTGGAGTAAGGTAACCAATTATTTGTACCCGACACCTTTGTATATTAGGGGGTTTAAGTGCTCAGCACTTGGTAATAATTAAAAATAATTGAAAATGTAATTCTTCATATTTTTTAAAATTTGAATTTTCAGTACTTTTCTGAGGTTACTGGAAGTTTGCTCTTATTATGGGTGGAGATAGGATGTGCAACAGAATGCTAAGACAACTGAACCAGACAAAGACCTTCTTCTTCCTGACTTTTGGCGGTTTGGGTAGAAATGTAAGTTTGTTAAAGAACTGAATATCTGGGTCACTACATCACAGATAAGCTCTGTGATGATGATGATGATGACGTTTATAGGCAGCGTCCCCTTTTGTATGGCAAGGCCAACATTCTGGTGAGGTCATACAGTCAGATTAGTTCAAAGTTTTCTATTAAAGGAAAAGTACACCCAAAACATGATTAGCCTTCATTTTCTACTCACCCCCATGCTGAACAACACTGTGGAGTACTTTTTTGATATCTCAAATGCATCTGGAGATCTGGGAGGCTTCTTGCTGTCTGCTGACATTCAAATAATGGAGGTCTATGGCGCCCGAGGCAGAAAGGTCCATAAAAGTCCACAAAAAAAGTGTCAATATTCCTCCATACTGCTCGTCCAATGTATTCCAAGTGTCCTGAGTGGGTAGCGTCCATAATTTACTCGAAACGAAGTCATTTAGAATGTTTTTAGAGCATAAACAGTAGTGTATAGGATTTCCTAAAAGCGCGTTCACGAGTCTACGGAAACCGCGGCAGACCAAACCAGATGAAAGTGCGCATTCAGCGTCTGCTCTGCCGATAATGCAAGCGCAGAAGAAGAAATGTGCTGTTTACCTGTGCAAAGAAAGAAACAACGAAAGAAAAATGTCTGAGGACTTCAGTGTTGAGGAAGAGCATGAGTTCTTTGCCGAGCTGAATGCGCACTTTCGTCTGGTTTGGTCTGCCGCGGTTTCCGTAGACTCGTGAACGCGCTTTCAGGAAATCCTATACACTACTGTTTATGCTCTAAAAACATTCTAAATGACTTCGTTTCGAGTAAATTATGGACGCTACCCACTCAGGACACTTGGAATACATTGGACGAGCAGTATGGAGGAATATTGACACGTTTTTTGTGGACTTTTATGGACCTTTCTGCCTCGGGCGCCATAGACCTCCATTATTTGAATGTCAGCAGACAGCAAGAAGCCTCCCAGATCTCCAGATGCATTTGAGATATCAAAAAAGTACTCCAGAGTGTGGTTCAGCATGGGGGTGAGTAGAAAATGAAGGCTAATCATGTTTTGGGTGTACTATTCCTTTAAAGGAAAACCACTCCGACTAGGCAGGGTGAGCAGATCTGTGTAGAATTATTTCAGTTCTGTCTGTTGTGCTATACACAAGATCCAACTATTTCTCACATTTGACATGGACAGACTATAAAAAGTTATAAATAATAAACAAAACATGTAAAAAAAAAAACAACAAAAAACACCAGAGCATTCTATAAAGAAAATCTCCTCTTAATGAGTCTGTGCAGGATTTAGAACCAGAGCAGATAGAGAATGTTCATATATAAAAAAACATAATGAGATCTACGTCTAAAGAAAAGAAAATAAACGGCGTGGGACGGTTTCTATGGTGACTGAGGCAGAGAGGTGATTCTCAGAGAGATCTGGGAAGTTTATCTTTTTTTCCCCATAAAGAGGTGAGAGAGATCCGCTGCGCTGACCTGCTCTGTCTGCTCCTCCTTATTCTGGTTTCTGTGAGGCTCTAAGAGGATCACTACTTTATCCGTTTTCTGTCCTCCTGAACTCCTATCATGGTGAAAGATTTCTATTTTAATGTTTCATTCTTTGTTTTTGCTCCAGTCTGTCCTGCTCACTATAAACGCGATGTGTGATTCCAAACTGACTCTTTCCCCATCAGATTAATAGATTTTATTTTGTATTTTCCCCCAAAGCGCATGAGTTTTACTTTGCAACCGCATCTCTCTTCCTGTCAGACCCATGGTATTGCTGTTGAATTGCTGCGTAGTCTGACACAAACAGACCTGGGCTCCAGTGGCGGATCTAGGGGGCGGCTATTTGGGCTGCAGCCCCGGATGTTTCCACTAGAGCCCCGGATCTCGCTTCTGAGCTGATCTGAGTAAAATGTGCAGTACTGGAATTCACCAGATGGTGGCAGCATGCACAGCAAAGCATCCTGTAGCATTCCCGTGCAGAAGAAGAAGTTCTGACCTATGGCTGTTGCTAAACAGACTGATGTTCCAGGTATGTGGAGCTCTCACTGACTTCCAGACGTTGTTTGCCCCGGTGTTCTATGGAATTCTGTTCCCCTTGTGTCGGGAGCGCATTGAAGCCAGAGAGGCGAACATGGCGGATGGAACCATTTTCACGACGCGTCTGATCGATTTCTCGCTAAAATCAGCTATAATCATGTCACGGTTGTAACATCCAGTTTAATCAGCAGCTGTTGTTTACAAAATTGTAAAATAAATAAATAGACGAGGTGCTTTAAAGCTATTTTGTGTTATTTTAAACGGCAAGAAAATCGTCTTTTTCCAACTTCTGTCACTTAAACCTGACAGAAATAAAAGTCAGTCACCAAACAGTTTTCCAACAGTAGTGAGTATTTATCATTTTCCATAGCTGATATCAGGGGACGGAAACCGGCTGATAGCAGGACACAAATATTCCTGAAAAGATGAGAGTGTAGACTTTCTGATTTATCCCCTTCTAATGTAAAATATGACAGATTACTGGATTAAGGACATTCCCAGTATACTACATGATATCACACAAACAATTTTTGAGAATCTGGAAACAGATGCTTTTTACTTCCCAAAGATATGGGAGGAGGAGAGACTTTATGTTTCAGCTGCCTGAAATAATCTGTTCCTCCTCCATAACATGGGAAGAAATTAATTTACCTGCACATTTTTAACTGTGTTTATTCATTTATTCATAATCCTCTGGATTTGGTGACATTTGATAATTATTTGCCAAAGTTATGAGAGGGGAATTGTATATTTTAGCCCCCTGATATAATCAGTCCCCCCTTTGATGATCTTTATGAAATATATTTTCTGTTTAAATGTTTATCTAACAATTCACATATATTCCAAAAAAAAGGTCAAACCAAAACCACTGGCCTTTGTTTTCCAAGTTTGAAGATGTTTCTTAATTCCAAATGTCTGGAGCAATGCTATTGCAGACATTTGGAATTGAGAATTATAATACATTAAATAAAGATAGTCAAACCAACAACTATGTTGGATTTTAAAATATAAAATAATAAATGTTTTAAACATAATATATGAAAAATAATGACAGTTTCAAAGGATTTGTTTATTTTTTTCCCATGTTATGGGGAAACAGATTATATCAGGTGGCTAAAATATATGATTTCCCTCTGATAACTTTGGCAAATAATGATCAAATGTGACCAAATCCACAGAGTTAGTTGTTGATGAAGAGAGGAATAAACACAGTTAAAGACTTGCAGGTGAATTAATTTCTTCCCATGTAATGGAGGGGGAATTGTTATGTGTGATAGCATGTAGTATAGTAGAAATTTCTTTAATCCAGTAATCTGTCATATTTTACATTAGAACGGGATTTAGAAGAAAGTCTACTCTGTCATCTTCACCCTCGGGGCTAAGCCCCTGATCTCCTAGGATCCTAGATCCTCCCCTGCTGGGCTCTATCTCAGTCGGAGCTACGCTGCCCCCTGCAGGAAATCGTATCTGGAGTGATCCTCTCCATTGACTTTCAATGAGCGCTAAACTCCACGACCTCTAAGGCACGATTTTATATCAGATTGGACGCAAAATTGGATTTAGTGCGTTCTGGGCTTAGTTAGAACCTGACCTAAAGCAATTTACAGTCTGTTACCTGATAAAGCATTGAAGCATTAAAAAGCTCATCTATTACAAAAACTCCATAAACCAAGTGAAACAGTATTTACACACGAGGGTAATGCTTTAAATATTTTCTTTCTGTTAATTATTTCATGATTAAGCTCATCATCATGTTATTATAGATTAAAATATTAAATCATATTAAGAATAATATTATATTTTACTATTTTATCAGACCAACATAAAAATTTGAGAAAAACGAGTCGCTGTGTCTTGCAATGACTGACTACCATCTGTTGAGGCGGGCTACTTACACAGGCTTGGTGAACATTCCTGAGACCTTTTTGCAGCCTTTGTTGTCGCCACCACACACACCACACTTGTCAAACTTCTTGTTGGAATCCAGCTTGCCGTCGCAGCCTGCCTTCACACACTTCCCCTGAACACACACGGCTGAGGTGTCAGGGGAACAAGGCGTCCCATCCACAACCTGACAAGTTAAGACAACACGTGTTACAATAACCATTATGGGCAACGAGTCCTACATTGTTTTACTCTTCTGGTTAAAAAATCACATGATTACCATACATTTCCATTTTATATTCTTTAAGTAATGTTGTGAGAGTATCTCTACTTACTTACTACTTACTTACTTGAAAACAGTTTATCTCATAATTACGAGATCAGTATCTCGTAATTATGAGATAACGTCATATTTAGGAGATCAGGAAGGACGGTCATTGTTGAGCTACGCTACGTTAAACGGGAACAATGACTAAGTTTTCAGATTTAATCGGATTTTATTTCCTTTTAGGTTTTCGACGCTGAGAAATACTGAGTTTCCTCAATGTGGATGGAATTAGTTTTAGTTTGTCAGCATTGTGCAGCAAGTCCTTAGGATTGTTAAGGCGAAAAAGCCTCTCTACTCTGACCTGCTGGAAGTCGCTCTGTTCCTGCAGCAGCAATTAAACCAGAACGGGACGCTTTATGGTTAGAAATTAATGCATCTAATATGCATTCCAGCTGACTTTGTGGTGTCCCAAAGAACTGTTCGGTATCTTCTCAAAATCCTAGATCCTCAGGGAATACAGCTGATGCTTCAGGATTGTTTAAAACTCCCAGGTCAACTTCATGCAGCAGGTCGATTCATAGAACAACTATGACCAAACGGAATCTGTATTAATGGAGCCGTTGAGGGATTTTCACGTATGGTCACATGCCTGAATGCTTACTCCACAAGTAGTAATCTCAGGGTTATAGCTGAGTACTTTATTGATGAAGTGGAAAACAGGAGCGGAGCTCCAACGCGCATCAGGTCAGACCTCGGTACAGAGAACTGTTCAGTGTTAAGAAGTAATCATGAAGACCAGTTTTCTCAGAGATGCTTCGTTGCTGGCTAAAGTAATCATAACTAAATATATAGACAAGATCTCGTAACTAAGAGATACTGATCTCTTAATTATGAGATAAGCTGCCAGATTTTTTTTTTCTTTGGTGAATGCAATACGCTTCCGTACTATTCAGAGTTTAGGTTTATCAAACATAAGCATGAACTACAGTAAAGACTGGTTTTAAAAGTTGATGTTGAAAGAACAAATTTCTAAACTTTTATTTTGTCCAAATGTTTCAATTTGTAAACATTTACACAGATTTATTTTATTTTACATTTGAAATGCTGGAATTTAACCCTCTGTCTGATTACATCACTAAACCTTGATTCTGACGTTACCAGCCAACAATTATTCAGTACTTGAAAAGTCATTTTACTGATTATTTTATTACTCTTACTAGAGCATTGTCTTGGATTTCTACCTTTACTTAAATAAAGAAAATAAATTGAAAATGTTCATCATGTCTTTTAAAAATGGTTTTGTATTCTTTGTTCAGAAATCAATAATAAAAAAGATAAGGTTTTATTTACGTTCACAGACTTGCCTGGTTTTATAAATGTGAAGAGCCTTAAAATAAAAACTTTGTCAAACCACTATTTAATCTTCATGTCAAACCTCCCATCAGTATTAGCATAGTCATGGCATGTTTTATAAAGATAACAGGTACCATATTACATCACAAAAAGTGGAAGAAACTTTATGGTAAAAAAACTCCCTTCATCAGCCGATGTGAAAAATGGAGATTAAAAACACAACTATGTTGCTAAAAGTCCAGTTGGTCAGAGACGCAGACAATAAAGCCTCTTTCCCTTTGAACATAGCGGGTTAACTCATATTTTCAAACAAGGTAACAATCGGCATTTGGCTTCCTTCCCACTGGTTTTAAAAAGTTGGTTTAACCCCTCGCTGGAAGCTTCGTGTCTGGTGATACCATCGCGCTGGGTGAGCGCTGATGATGTCACCAGTGTGACAGACATCAGGGAAGTAAACAATGGAGAGTAACATGGAAGAAAGTCAGGGCATAGTCCACGTGTTTTATTGTTTCTCTCTATTATCTGTCTGAATCCCTCTTACCAGAGCTGTTCCATGTTAATTGAGTGTAGACATGAGTTCAGAAGCTACTGGTGTGGTGTGTTGACGCCGGTACGTTCAATGGCATCATATAATTTAGCGGGTCGACCCGGCTCTGGTGTTCCCACAGTATGCCGATCAGAGCCGAGGTGACTGTGACACAGGTCGCTTGCCAAGGCATTTGACCCAGTAGGGTGAGGCTGTTACCACTGCCGCTAAAAGCCAATTCTTCCATGGTTTAATTGGGTTTTTCGGCCAGTGGGAAAGGGGTACTGAACGACTGAATGACTGAACGAGCTACAGCAATTTTCTGTAAAACAGTGTTAGCAATATGTCAAGTTCTAAGGACACCATACTGGAAACTTTGGGCTAAAACTGAGCTGCAGCACAGCACATTGCCAAATAAACGCCGTACCCAGGTAACAGGGTGGTGACGGCATCATGCTCTGGCACTATTTTAGAGTTTTAATCCAAATTCTCCTGGCTGGAAAGATGAGCCTGCAGCAGATTTAATGTACAGAGCACTGGTGTAACTTACTGAAGGACTGGTGTGGACATGTCCCCACCAATTTAATATATATATATATATATATATATATATATATATATATATATATATATATATATATATATATATATATATATATATATATATATATATATATATATATATATATATATTTATGTTCATCTCATTTACTTTAGCCAACAACAGTAACCTCAGCACGCGCCCGGCTGTGTGTTCTGAGTTTTCTGACAGCCTTTCTGTCCCCCTATCCCGCTGCTCCTGAGTCCCGCCTACTGATGTAATATCATTGGATCCTATGTCCATTGCTCCACGTCTGTCACTTTATGATAGAACATGATTGGCGGTCGCTATTCACACACAATAGCACTCATTAATATTAACCAGCAGCTACTTCAGGTTTTATTTCAAATAAAAAAGTAGTAGACAGTTTTGTTTAAAAAAAAAAAGATGCTACCAAAAAAGTCATCAGACATACGAAGTGTAAGAAGCCTTGAAAATTAGTATTGTAATGCTATAAGTTTGACAAAAGCAGGTGTTTAAATAGTGTGTTCTTTGCTAGTTTAAAAAAAGCAAGCAAGCACCTGAACAGACTGTTATTTTTCTTTCTTCTTTCTGTCTTAATGTTGGCAGTGGGCTTTAGGCTGCCCTGCAAGGCTTTAAACCTGGGTTTGAATGGAGACTAAGCCATTCTCAAGCACATATCAAGGTGCTCATTTTGAGCCTGGATCCAGATTTATTGTTGATTCTGTTCATGGTGGAGAATCCTGCTTCACAGCAGCAGGTTGAGCCAAACATCCTCTAAATGTTCAGGCTCCGCTCCGGTCTGGCCAGGTCAGGATCCGCTATTGCAATCGCACCAAACAGGAAAAGAACTGTAAGAAGATCCTGTTTGTCAAATTAAAATATAATAATAAATATAATTACAACAGATCGGTAATAACTAGAAATTAGAGCATGATTCTTATATATTTAAAAAACAAATAATTTCAAAGATTGGATGCAAACTATTGGTACTTCAACGGATCAGGAAGCAGATTTCTCATCTCCATCAGAAACTGCACATATGCTGGATGCTGATGGGGATTTTTTTTAATATGTCATATTTAGTTAAGCGTTCATTTCTGCATGTTTTACTCCTGAATTTAGCTCATGCTCTCCTCGAGCTCAGAGGATAGTTTGGAGCGCAGCAATACCGGAGGAACAGCGGAGGCTGTAGGCTTTGGTTTGCGCAGGAGGTCTGCAGCGTAGTGGGGTGGAGCGGTGACGGAGGATGTGGGATTTCGGGGTAACAAAAGATGCGGCGCAAGTGACGTTTAGACACTGTAGTCAGACAACATGCAGTAATTTATAAATGTTTTAAATCAGGTTGGGGTCGGATTAGCCAGCAGGTGGGTCCGGATCTGGACTGCAGTCCGCTAATCCGTGACCTCTGCCTTATAGTTTCCCCACCAACTTTCATTACAGACTTACACCCTCGGTTCAGAGTGAATCCAAATCGCTTCATCAGACAAAAAAACTAAAAAACAAACACAGTTTTGGATTTTCCTAACTAGTGAGAAAAGTCAAACTAAAGCAGATAGTTGGAAAAAGACTTTACAAGGTAAAATGTAGAGTTGAAAATTATCACAAGCTATGGCAGATAGTGCAGACTTTTGTAACCAGAGTTTTTGATTTGAAAACACTTTCTCCAAACAATTCAAAAAAGATAAAAATCAATCCACTGGACTCTGTTTCCATGTTTGAAGACGTTTCGCTTCCCATCCAGGAAGCTTTTTTTTTCAATTCATAATGTCAGAAATAGTGTTGTTGGCTTAGAAAACATAAAAATTGAACAAGTCCACCCCTTTGGAATGAGGTTCGTTTGGGTTTTCTGTTAGCCCACAATACCGGATACTTGTCTATGTCTCTGAAGGGGGTCGTTAGAGGGAATTCTTGGCCTGGCTGAACAGGCAAGGTCTTCTGTTCCCCTGTAACGGGGTTGTGGTTGCAATGATGGCGGGAAGGGATCAACTCCATCGCTGCATTGTAGATTTTTGAAAGCTGAAATCTGAGCCCACCCCCTCTGTTTAAGGTTGGTTTTTCTTTCTTGACATAGATGGCTTCCTTCACGCCCCTTTCAAACCACCCGTCTTCCTTGTCCAAAACGTGAACATTCTGGTCCTTAAAAGAATGTCCTTTGTCCATAAAGTGTAGATGTAACACAGAGTTTTGTCCGGAGGAGGGCGCTCTTCTGTGTTCGCCATGCATCTGTGGAGAGGTTGTTTGGTTTCTCCACTATAAAGATCAGAGCATTCCTCACTGCACTAAGCTGCAGACACCACTCTGCTTACATTCGGTCTGGGGGTTTTGTCCTTAGGATGCACTATTCCCTGTTTAAGGGTCTGTTTGGTTTGAAATGTAGTTGGATTTTGTGTTTGGAGAAAATCCAAACACAGAATTAATTTTCCCCAAAGAAATGTGTTGTTTTTTTGGATTGTAAAGCAAAGTCCTATTACCGGTACAAATTAAGATATTAAGTCATCTAAAAAATTTTTATTCTTTAATTCGTTGCGTTTATTCACGGGCTAGAAGACCTTTGAGAGCCAGAGTAAGTCCACACAATACATACAAAACAGTGTGCAAACCTTAGGTGAAAGAACATAGAAGTATCCAGTTCCGTTGGCCCTGCAGATGAGCTTGCATTTATCCTTGGGAGAGATGCCAGAATATTTGGGAATCCAAACTACACTGGATCCCAGTCTGCTGGTGTTTAGGTTTAAGCCATTGAATGCCTCACACTGCTCCTCACGAAAGCTTTTACCTGGGGATGAAAAACAGACCAACATTTCACAGCTGCTCTGATAGAAGAAACTGATCCTTCTGATCAGAGGAAGCAGGAAAAAAATAAAAAACAGACAAAATTAAAAGCAGCCTAAGGCTTTCTGGAGGAAAGTTGCTCAACTTTGCCATAAACTTAAAAAAAAAAAAAAGGAAACCCGAGACAGTCCCATAAATATGTCATGCTGTTCTTGAAAATAGATCTTTAGCGTTCTTAATTTAAAATCATATTCCTCTCTCATATCGTATTCGTATCGTATTTATAAATGGAAAACAACATCTCCAGTTATGTATACAACAGAGAAAGTAATCTGATATATCAATTCTTTTTTATTGGGTATACTGAAGAATTAAAATAACTGGTAGTAACTCTTTTATCTTAAATTATAAGCAACCTGTTTAAGCTCATGCCACAGCATCTAAATGTGGTTCCTAGAACTTCTAAAAGTAGAATGGGAGGCAGATCTTTTAGTTCTCAGGCTCCTCTCCTGTGGAACCAACTACCAGTTTTAGTCCGTGATGCAGTCACCCTGTCTACTTTTAAGGCTAGGCTTAAAACGTTCCTTTTTGATAAAGCTTCTAGTTAGAGTGGCTCAGGTTATCCTGAGCTATCTCTATAGTTCTGCTGCTATAGGCTTAGACTGCTGGAGGACATAGGGACCCCTATTTCATCATTCTGCTTCATTCTATCTCTATTCTCCCATTCTGTAGTATTTGTGAATTCAACACCTATTTTTTCTCTACTTTTTCTCCTCAGAGTAACTGGTTCTGTTTAGATGTCCTATTATCAATGATAGAAGGCAAATCATTTAGTTATCAGACTTCAGGGTCTGATAACTAACTCACCTATACAAGCACCAGCCTTTGCTCATGAGGCAAATGTGCAGTCTACTTTTATAAAAAAAAAAACATTCTCTCTCTCTCTCTCTCTCTCTCTCTCTCTCTCTCTCTCTATATATATATATATATATATATATATATATATATATATATATATGGACACTTTTTTTAACAGATGGATTTAGGAGATCTACTTTTTTAAGCAGACCTTAAACTCACCAGTTTCAGGACAAGGGTTGAGATTACATGAGCGGTATTTAATGCGAAGGCCGTAGCAGTATTTCCCACCATTTTCAGGGACAGGGTTATTACAGTCTCTCCTGGCCAACTGAACACCTCCACCACAACTTCTTGAACAGTCTCCAAATGCACCCCACTTCCCCCAACGGCCATCCACCTTAGTCAAAAGCAGAACCATGCTTTACTCGTCAGTGTTAAGAATGTTCATGTAAGACAGTGCTACACTAAGTCCCTTTCTGCCTTACCTTTACATGCATGGTGCTGTGCTTATCAACACAGGTGCCTCTGTAGCAGACTTTGTTGCTGCCATAGCCACAGCTTGTGCCGTCTGCCCAGGGAAAGTGTCGGGTTTGACAGACTTGCTGTCCACGAGCATTCCCGGTGCACCACAGCTTTGTGCAGGGCTGCATGTAGGGGCAGGGTGTGGAGCCTGAACCAAAGGCAAGCTCACACTGACGGTGCAGGCTATAGCTGTAGCCAGGAAGTCTGTCCTGGAGGGTGAGGTGCTTCTGAGGCTGGTCCAATAGGCAGTCTCCTGTAGAGGCAAAAACAGAGCTATGGTGAGGCAGCAGATACAGTATGGAAGATATTTGGATACGTCAGATTGCCTTTTTCCTTCTTTTATGCACATGATCTCTGAAATTAACCAATTTTAACTCTATATGTGCAATAATGTAAAGTATCATCAGAGATCAGGCAGTAAAAACATTTTCTCTTGGTAAATTTTACTAGTAGCTATATTTAATGTATTTAATCAACTGAATCTGAGTAATGTTTAAGTGAGACTGAATTTTACTATATAATTGGATCAGTCTGCCAACCATTATGACAGTGCATTATAATCTTTAGATTGATTTGAAGTGGAATTAGAAGTGTCTTTAATTGACAGATGTTGAACTCTTCTGAACACTACACTGGAAAAAAAGTCCAAAAATAATAAAAAGTAAAATAAATGAGTGCACTTGTTCTTGAACTGAGGAGGTAATTGAGATACTTTGCCAATGGAACAAGACGATTTACATTGCTCAAAAAAATTAAAGGAACACTTTAAAACAGATCAGATCTCAATGGGGGAAAAAAATCCTGCTGTTTATTTATCCTGATATGGACTGGGTGATATGTTAGGAACAAAAGGATGCCACATTATTTGATGGAAATTAAAATGATCAACCTACAGAGGGCTGAATTCAAAGACACCCCAAAAATTACAGTGAAAAAATGATGCGGCAGGCTAGTCCATTTTGCTGAAATTTCATTGCAGCAACTCAAAATGGTATTCAGTCATTTGTATGGCCCCGATGCGCGTGTATGCATGCCTGACAACGTCGGGGCATGCTCCTAATGAGACGACGGATGGCGTCCTGGGGTACCTCCTCCCCGATCTGGACCAGGGCATCACTGAGCTCCTGGACAGTCTGAGGTGCAACCTGGCGGCGTGGGACGGATTGACACATAATGTCACAGAGGTGTTCTATTGGATTTAGGTCAGGCGAGTTTGGGGGCCAATCAATGGTATCAATTCCTTCATCCTCCAGGAACTGCCTGCATACTCTCGCCACATGAGGCCGGGCATTGTTGCATTGTTTTGCACCAGCAGGGAACCCAGGACCCACTGCACCAGCATAGGGTCTGACAATGGGTGCAATTTTCTCATTTAAAATGAGAAAAACAAAACAATAGCATTGTCTTATTTCAATTGCATATTATCTAATTATCTTATTTTAAGAATAAAAATACCCATTCTATTGGCATATCATCTTATTTACCTGCTCAAATTAAGGGTAAATACACTTAATTTAAGAAATGTTGACCTTTTTCTAGGTCGTTGTTGCAGTGTAAACTATTCTGTAATCAAATTTGAGCCCATCTCTCGATTAGCTGAAGCTTGGCTACATAGATTGGATGAAAAGAAAGAACAGATTTCGCCAGTTCCCTTCAATAAGTCAGGGGCCATCTCCTGGGACTCCTCCCAATGGAATATGGCTGCCCACCTTTTGAGGGGAACTTCCAGGGGACTTCAGAAACAGATGTCAGGGCCACCTAAGCTGTCCCTCACACTAAGCATGCTTGTAGCGACAGTGGAGAGGAAAAACTCCCTTTGAACAGGAAGAAACCTCCAGCAGAACCAGGCTCAGTGTGAGCGGCCATCTGCTGAGGCCCACTGGGGTTCAAGGAGACAGAAGGAGACATAGAAAAAGAAGCATAGATACAAAAGGCAACTGTCAACCAGCTCCACAGGCGGCCCCGTCCAGGAAACACACAGCCAGGCAGACGAGCTCCGAGCCAGCTCCCATGTCAGAGGATGAAGAGAGCACATCCAGTTAGTCACAGTCAGAGAAACAGGACTACACTGAAAAACAGGCCAAGCTCCAACATCTAGAAACAAAGGTGTTGATGGCAGCAGCACAGCTGATATGGGAGATATCAGCTGAGGGTGGCAGATGAGGAAGCAACAAAAGAACAAACAGCACTGAGTGACAGCAGAGGTGGTGTATATATTGGGAGACAGAACCAAGGCCAGTTAATCAGCAGATTGGGAGCAGGTGTGGGCAACACCAACTAGGAGGAAGCCAAGGGGAAAGGAAAACATCCCAAGGGGGCAACAGAGGGTAACTAAAGAACTCAGCACTGGTAAAAATAAACAGACCAACATGGTAGAAACGATACAGAACACAAAGAGCAAAGGGCAGAACTCCCCACGGCAAACCACCCCAGCACATGATATAGAAAATCAGCAGAACCTCATCATCTTCAAAAAGCAGATATAAAATTCATACAGACCCCCTTTGGCCTGGGGCTGAAATCCTGTCCATAACAGTTATGAACGGGACCAGGGACAAAGGACAACCCTGCCAGAGTCCATGCTGCCAAAGAGAACCCAGAGGGAGAGAATAATGATGAAAAATTCAAAACATCTGCTCCCCATTTACAACTGAGGCCTTGTTATACAAACTATCCACAAATACCTGGGAGGGAAATTGGCTAAGTGGGCACAACTGGGACGTTTTCACTCAGGAGTTCACTATTTGCTGCCATTTCCTTTTTGACTAAGTCACCTAAATTGATCAACCCTTTTTCAACTCTCATATCACTCTAACTAATTAACCAAAACTCGAATATAAGAAATAGGTCAATTCTACCAGTCCCCCCCCAACCCCCTGCCATGTGTAGTCACGGGTGTGGTTCGCCTTTGTTTTTCTACATAAAGTGAGACAGAAACAGTTCTGCTGAAGAACTAGGTCATGATACATATTAAAATCAAGATGGAGGAAAAGAAGGAAGTAGCCCACAGCAGGGTAACGACTGCTGAACAAAATGAAAACATTCAGGGAGCATTGACTCACCGTGACCTCTGTCCATGAACTCGGTAATGATGGCTGCGCTGCACACTGACCAAGGCCGACTCCTGTCAATCTGAATCAGTGTGGGAGACATCATGTGGTTGTCCTTCAGTTTCCCAAATACTTCCTCACATGCCTTCACATTGTCATGGGGCATGTTGAAGACATGGCCTGCAGGGAGAGGGTGGGAGACAACACAACAGGGTCATGGCTTGGCAGACACAACAGGCCCTGTTTTCACTTTATTACAAAGACTTATCGGGCAGATTCAGAGAGAAAATAGTGCAATATGTATTAAACCATTCCCTATACATTGTTCAACCTTCATATAATTATTAGCTGAACCTTTTCAGTTATTAATTGACTTTCTGGAGAGGGAAATTATGGACTTGCTGGTTGTGTAAGAGGACAGAGGAGGGTGGGATTCAGCTTCTGGCACAACTCCTGCTTTGTTTGAAACCACCTTTTCACACAGCTGTTAGTGAAAACAGCCATAAAGCTGTCACATAGACTGCTGGGTGCAGTTTACGGTCAGCAGTTTGCATATAGTCATTATTGGCATAAAGGTCATATTCATTGTAGGCTGTTAGGGATTTATTGGAACTATTACAGCGCCAAGCTTTAGTGATTTTACATAACCATCATTAGGTGCTGAAGTTTAAATGCATCCTGGATTATTTCCAAAGTGTCATTTTTGTACTATGCAGACCAGACACCCCTGCTTATTTAATGTTTTATTAAATGTCACTTAGCAGGTCGTCAAACAACCCAAAGCTTTTTTGTAACCATAATTATGGAATAATTCTGACTGAAGGTCAGTAAATTAGTCCGATTCTTAACGTGGATCTGTTTTCTTTTAAAGCAAAGTCCAAAAATGTGTAATAATGTTTAGTTAGGGGAATGAGGAAGGCTTTTCCAGAAGCTTAACGACTTAGACTTGCTGATAACTGCCACCTGCTTCTAATTAAGTAAACTCTGGTTTACGTGATGGTAACACACATAAACACAGGTAAGCTCAGAAAGATAGAGAGTATGTATGTCCTTGCAGTGCGTTTGCACCTCTTGGACACCAATGGACGCTCCCAATAAAAGGAAAAGCATATTTCCCCACCCTGACGGTTGAACTGTGTGACCCGTTCAGAATTTGTGTCACTGCGCTTTCGGAGCAGAACTCGTGCAGCCGCTGAAAAATGTCTCTGTGTATTAAGAAATGCAGAGCGAATGTTACACACGTGTTTGGCCGACGTTCCCTCTGGCATCCCTGCTTTATAATAACACTCGGTCAATGGGTTCATCAACAGCTCCGTTGTTGTGTTAGCTTTAGCAGGACGAGCAGACAGGAAGTTGGGATAAATATCATAGTGGATGAATATCACAACTCAACTAAGAGATGCAGGAGAGTAAAACTGGAAAAATGGCTGAAAAAAACAACGACTCAGGCAGGGCTTTGAGATAAATGTCCCTAACTTTTGTAGATTTCATCAAATTATAACCTCTAACTGCAGCGGGACTCATTCTGCTTCTGGCCTCAGAGGTTTGGAGGAAAACATGAATTAACAAACGGCATCAAGGAAGAAAGTGGGGGGTGAGGAAAGACGTTGAGGAGAACGTTAACGTAGGGTAAGGCCTGGTTATTTGGCCGACAAATGCATCCCTCTTTTTGCCCGTTTTAAAGGATGAGTCCGCTGTATCCTCTGTAGCCTTGGGTATCCCTTAATTCATTGAGACTCCAAGCTAGCCAGCAGCTCAGATGAAAAAGGGAAATGGCACCGAACAGTGGTGAATATTGGAAGTGCAGTTTAATATAATACAAGTAGGTGAATATTTTTGTCTGAAATGATGAAAATAGTTGTTTTGAATGGTTACCCAGGAAGATAATGTTTGGTTTATTAAAATGTTTTATCTGTCCCTGTGTAAATGGGTTTAAGCTCAGATTCCAATATATCTGCAGTGTAGGGAACCACAAATCTGATATATGAGACAGCGGTACTGGTGCTGAAGCCCAGCGAAAATGTTATAAACACTCAGAACAGTAGTGAGAAGTTCGGCATCCATTTTTTGCCTACTTTGTCTGTCAACTGCCATGGTTGCTAGGTAACAGAGCATATGGGTGGTGAAAAGCCCAAGAAGGCGGGACCTGTTTGAATCCAAAGCCAAAACGCTTCCGGTCTCCTTATTTTCACTGACCTTGAGCAACCAGGTAGACCCAGTCCTTGGAGGATGAAGCCTCTGAAATCTAACACAGCCCCTATGTATAGTATCTGAAGATCACTAACTGTTTTTCTTTTGCCAAGGTTAAAGGAAGTAGCTGGGGGAGCAAATATGGTGTAACACCAGGGAGTGGAGGAATCCAATAAGCAGCTGAAAGAGGGGGATGAAGATAAGATGTCAAACACTCAAAGCTCCACTGTTTAAAAATACATTTTGGTGTTAGGACGCCTTAGTTTTATATTTGTGTCGCAGTAATAATTTGTAGGTATTCTAAGTTTTCTGCCTCCCCTTGTTTGTAGGCGAGCCTATGTGTATAAATTCCGCTGTGTTTGTTTGTAAGGTCAGTTTGTTATCATTGGTTAGATTCATATTAGCTGATTTCTTATTTTGGGCCCATTTTTTTTTTGCAGACTTTTAAGTATTTTGATGAGTTTTTTTTGTTAGTACCTTGGCAAAAATAAACTGAATATATTTGTTCTACACCTGTGTCCTTTGCCTGCCTGCTTGGTCCCTGACAGTTTGCATTTCATAAATAAACTTGAATTTTCATTTAAAGAAATAATAAAAGGAAAGTTATACAATTTGTTGATTATTAAGATCAGATAAAAGTAACTGCAGAGTTGCTTTGCCTTGTGACTAGGAACTTGTAATAACTTGTGTAATAACCCAGTTACTAACTTAGTTACTGTTTTGGTGAAGTAACTAGTATCTTTAACTATTTACTGTACGTTTTAAGTGACATCCCAAGAATAAAAGGTATTGAACTTTTCTTTTTGGGGTTTAAAGAATTTAATAAAATATGGACTTGGGTAGAGATTTACTGAAGTTTTAACCAGCAGGCAAATACTTTAGTATTTTGATGTTTAGTAATGATGACAGAATAAAGTAACCATGAGGAAAGAATGATTCCCTTCATTTGAAAGCAATCCAATGACGTCACCCTGTCCTCATAAACATTGAGGAAAAGTCTGAGCTAATTTGTAAAATCAATAAAAAGGTAATCTGTTGGCAGGAATTAAGGAAGGACTTTTTGAAGGTGTGATCACATTATTCTGTAATAAAATGTAATTTTTTAATTCACCATTTATAGCAACTTAAAAACAGAATAAATGGAAAAACCTTGTCCCTTTTTGATTGATTTCCTCCTGCAATATGCAAAAAGCTGCACTGCATGTTTTTTAACAACAGACACATATGAGCCTGGTTCTGGTTCTGCTGGAGGTGACTTCCAGTTTAAAAGTGAGTTTCGTGGGCAAAACAATTAATATTTTAACTGTGATTAATCAATTATTGATGCAGATGACTTGGTCAATTATAGACCTATATCCAATCTTCCTTTCTTATCCAAAATTCTTGAGAAAGTAGTTGCCAAACAAGTTTGCGATCACTTCCACCATAATGAACTTTTTGAAGAGTTTCAGTCTGGCTTTAGAGCTCATCATAGCACTGAAACAGCTCTGGTGAAAGTCACTAATGATATTCTCATGGCCTCAGATAATGGACTTGTATCTGTGCTCGTCCTGTTGGATCTTAGTGCTGCATTTGATCCAGTTGATCATAATATTCTTTTAGAAAGACTTGAATATTTTGTTGGAATTAAAGGAACAGCACTAGACTGGTTTAAATCTTATCTATCTGATCGAATTCAGTTTGTTCATGTTAATGATAGATCTTCAACACGCTCAAAGGTTACCTGTGGAGTACCACAGGGATCAGTGCTAGGACCAATTCTCTTTACTTTATACATGCTCCCAATTGGTAGAATTATTAGACAGCATGGGATAAATTTAGGGCTGCAACTAACGATTATTTTAAAAATCGATGAATCGGACGATTATTTTTTCGATTAATCGATGAATCGGACAAAAAATATTTTTTATATTAACCTCTTTATTCCAAAATAAACATTATAGACAGAACAAACAAGCACACAAGTACAGGTTGCTCATTAACTGTACTGGTGCAATATGAAAAATAAATGTTTGTGTTAAAACTACGCAAACTTACATGAGAAATGTAGCTGTACATCCACAAAATATAGGGTACTTTGTTTCATAAAGCGCAAAAAAAGACATTTTTGTTTTTAAAGCCCCTAAGGGGTTCAAACAATAGGCCCCCCCATTTCAACAAATGAGTTTTTTTAGACTAGAAGAGTTCTGCCTTTTAAGACAGGAAAGTATAGCAGTTAAAGTTGCTACTTGAGAAAATACTGAACCATAGAGATAAAAATAGCCCTGTGATTCAAATTATAAATTGTATTTGGAATAAAAATGAGAGAACTAGGGGTGCTAAAAAACACATCCTCCAAAGACAGATATTTACATGGGAATGTGGCAAATATAATTAATTGACATATTACTGATCTTGCTGGATTTTATTCTGCTTTACTTCCATAAATTGCAGGATCATCTTTACTTTATCTTTGCCAGAAGATTTAAACTTTAAAAGTCTTGCCCTCATAATTTGCAAGTTAATTTATTTATAAAGTAAATATAAACGCTGCTTAAGCTAATTCAAATGAAATTAAAAGTAAAATAAGTAGCCAACCTTATCACTGTCTGTAACCTACTAACACGGTAAGGAAAGCATCAGATGAGCTACCTGAGAAACTAACGTTACGTTTCCACACTTTAAAACCAAACAAACATGGTGGTTCCGTGCCATGTTAATTTCTTTTGAAAAAAGTTGCATGTTATCACTTTTTTCGCTTTACAAAGCGCAGGCTATTTTAATTATTGTGATCAATTTGCGCCGTCAATCCCGGTGCATGCGCGCTTCATTTGCAGTCTGGACGCTGAGGCTCTGACTGAGAGGGACTCCTGCGGGAAAACGCGGTTGGGGTGGGGGAGGCGCCCCACGGCAGAGTAGGAACGATACATGCTTTCACGTAAGAGTCTCCAAAAGCCGCCAGTGACACCGAAAAAAGTCGCCAGATTTGTCGCTAGTCGCTTTTTTGAAAAATAGTCGCTGGAGAGGTCTGAAAAGTCGCGGAGTTGGCAACACTGCACCTGCGGCGCTGACTCGCTCTGCCGTATTTTTTTTTCTTCCTCTTTCAGTCAAGAGGCAGTGATGACGGCGCGGCAGATGACGCAATAATCGCGCGACACAACTAATCGATGATGAAATTCGTTGCCAATGCTTTTAAAAGTCGATTTTTATCGATTTTATCGATTCGTTGTTGAAGCCCTAGATTAATTTCCACTGTTATGCTGATGATACCCAGCTATATCTGGCTATAAATCCAGATGAAGCTAACCCATTACATAGATTACAGGCATGTCTGAAGACATAAAAACCTGGATGACTCTCAACGTTCTCCTTCTGAATGCAGACAAAACAGAAGTTATAGTCTTTGGACCAGAGTCTCTGAAAAAGAAACTGATTAGCCAGTCACTTCATTTGGATGGGATTAAACTGATTTCAGATAATAAAGTAAAAAATCTTGGTGTTATTTTTGATCAGGACCTGTCATTTAAATCCCACATCAAAGAGGTTTCTAGAATTTCCTTCTTTCATCTGAGGAACATTGCAAAAATTAGAAATCTCCTGTCCAGGGGTGATGCTGAGAAACTAGTCCATGCATTTGTTACTTCAACGCTGGACTATTGTAATTCTTTACTATCAGGAAGTCCACAAACTGTAGTTAAAAGCCTTCAGCTGATCCAAAATGCTGCAGCCAGAGTTCTGATGAAAATGAAAAAGAGAGATCATATCTCGCCTATCCTGGCTTCTCTTCATTGGCTTCCTGTTAAATCAAGAATAGAATTTAAAATCCTCCCTCTCACATATAAAGCCTTAAATGGCCAAGCTCCATCTGATATCAGAGATCTGATTGTTCCTTATGTTCCTAACAGAGCACTTCGCTCTCAATCTGCAGGTTTACTAGTGGTTCCTAGAATTTCTAAAAGTAGAATGGGAGGCAGATCTTTTAGTTCTCAGGCTCCTCTCCTGTGGAACCAACTACCAGTTTTAGTCCGTGAGGCAGACACCCTGTCTACTTTTAAGGCTAGGCTTAAAACTTTCATTTTTGATAAAGCTTATAGTTAGGGTGGCTCATGTTATCCTGAGCTATCTCTATAGTTATGCTGCTATAGGCTTAGACTGCTGGAGGACATAGGGACCCCTTTTTCATCATTCTGCTTCATTCTATCTCTATTCTCCCACTCTGCAGAATCTGTTAGTTCAATCTCTAACGTTCTGCTCTCTCTGCTTTTTCTCATAGTAGCTTCATCTGGTCTGTTCCTGTTTGGCTGTGACTCCATCCTGGAGAGAAATATCAGCTGTGCTGCTGCCATCAACACCTTTGTTTCTAGATGTTGGAGCTGGGCCTGTTTTCCAGTGTAGTCCTGTTTCTCTGACTGTGACTAACTGGATGTGCTCTCTTCATCCTCTGATATGGGAGCTGGCTCGGAGCTCGTCTGCCTGGCTGTGTGTTTCCTGGACGGGGCCGCCTGTGGAGCTGGTTGACAGTTGCCTTTTGTATCTATGCTTCTTTTTCTATGTCTGCTTCTGTCTCCTTGAACCCCAGTGGGCCTCAGCAGATGGCCGCTCACAGTGAGCCTGGTTCTGCTGGAGGTTTCTTCCTGTTCAAAGGGAGTTTTTCCTCTCCACTGTCGCTACAGGCATGCTTAGTGTGAGGGATTGCTGAAGAGTCAATGAGTCGATGCAATCAACTGGTTTTCCTTAAATAGAAAACTTTTAATCAGTTTGACTGGATGATCTGGTTGAACTGGAAAGTGCCTTGAGATGACATGTTGATAATTGGCGCTATAGAAATAAATTGAACTGAACTGAAATAATCATCAACAAATTAAGTAATCGACTAATAATGCATAAAACATGCCTTTATCTGAAATAGTGACCCCCTTAGAGCAGCAATTATACCAAAATTGTTTTAAATAAAATATGCAACAAATTTGCATTTAAGATAAAAAAAATCTTTTTTGTCTGTTAATCTGGTGTATTCAGAACTCCTCAAGTGGAAATTTTTAGTTTCACAATTTTTAGTTTCACTTCATAAAAAGTCTCCTTTAAGGAATCTTTTGCTGTCCGATTATTAATTGAAAAAAAAAAATCAACAGATTAATTGATTTGCAAAATAATTATAAGTTGCAGCCCTAGAGTTTTCCTCTCCACTGTCGCTACATGCATGCTGGATGCGAGGAATTCCTGAAGAGTCAACCACACAATTCCAGTGAATATCTACGGTCTCTACCTGCTCATCGCAGAGGATCGAATTAAGATGACATTTTGTGAATTACTGATACATAAATACATTAAATTGAAATAAACAGGCCTGGTAGAGGCCTGTCCAAAATCATCCCTAAGCAGCCGCCGTCCTGCAGGTGTTATGTTTTCCTGTTTCACTACAGCTGATTTCCATTGGAAGCTGATTACCAGGCTTTTGCTGATATGTAATCATCAGACTCAGCTGTGCTGAATCAGGGAAACCTGTAAAAGCTGCAGCGGCCCTCAAGGGCCCAACTCTGGACATGCCTGGGCGGCTCAGACCTCACCTCACAATCCAGGTTTTATCATTTCATTAAGAATCCTAGTAATGTTATCTGTAGCTAAAATGTTTACCTAAAGATACATCAGTTAGCACCTCGCATTAACGCCGTTATCACCTTATTGGAGCTGCAACTAAGGATTATTTTGTAAATCGATTAATCTGTCGATTATTTTTTAGATTAATCAATTCATATTCTGACAGCAAAAGGTTGCTAAAAGAAGATTTTTTTTTTACAGAATAAAACCAAGTAGAACTAAAACTTTTCCACTTGTGGATTTCTGGATAGATATTGACAGATGAAAGAGTTTTTATCTTATAAATAAAATACTAGTTTTTCCAGTCTTGGTACAATTACTGTCACCTAAAGGCCTGATTTAGTGTGTCTATATTCTAGTTGACAATTATTTAAATAATTGATTAATAAGAATAATTGTTTCAGTCCTAAAACTCATCTACACCAAGACTTCTACCCGGCAACCGCAGGTCGATAAATCTCACAGCAAGCACGCTGGTAATCAGATATGTCAGCCTGAATGTGGAAATTAAAATCCTCATGTGTTGTTTTGAGCATTTCTCATGAAAAGTAGCAAAATGCTCGCAGGATTGTTTTCTTTTTGACCAGAGAACGGCGCTCAGCTGTTGACAGGCCTGACAAAAGCAGCAAACATCAAGACATCAGCTCATAAACTCCAATAATTGTTTTCAGCTCTCCAGCCTGTCTTTTTTAGTCGGTGCCCAGTAGTCATGTTATCAGCTATACATACAAATGCTGGGTTAGCTTTCTCAGTGCTAAACAAACCAAAACAAACAATTTGCAGGACTGAAATCCCCCAGCTGTCTAAAACAGTTTCTGGGTAAAAACGTTGAATTCCTCAAACCAAGTCAGCCTAGTTAGCGGTGAAGCAAGTATGCTGGGAAATGTGTGCCTCCTCTACCATCTTACCGAGCTCATGAGCAGTGGTGAAAGCAGAGGGTAAACCATCATCCTCAATCACAGAACAACTTCTCCTTGGGTCACACATGGTGCCGACGTCAGCCATCCCCAGAGTATCGCAGGTCGTGGCTCCGCAGAGATCCTGGCGACACAAAGACAAAGACGTTACCTCTGAAAAAGCAGAAGTTTATGTTAAATGTTCATAACTTCACTCAGTTTGCATCATTCTACAAACCACAGATGGACCAGATAGTTTCAGACACCAGAATTACATTTGTCCGACAGCAGAGGTTAGGACACTTTCTTTTACCTTTAAAGGAAAAATCTGATCACATTCAGAATTCAAACTTCTTTAAATATGAAATTATTCCATCCTGTTCAATAAATGATCAGTGTAATCAGAGTAATTTTCATGTGAATGTGCTTTACTGGAGGCATCCATGTTTGTCAAAGAACACTACTGCCACCTACTGGTTAGTGACGTCACGGTGCGGTATCGGCTGTTGATCAAGTCCCAGTGCTGTATCTGGTGTTTGTCACAACGCGCTATTATCCAAGTCATCTTGAAAACATTCTTCTTCCAAATGTTGGCTACATATTACGGGTTTTTTCTCTGGCCAGAAGTTCGATGGCAAATCCTCCCTCTTCAAGTTGGCGATCCAACGACCAACCCGTCCGTGGAGGATCAGGAATCAGAAAGGTGGAATAACTCTTTTTTTTTCACTTTTCCCCGATGTATTCCAGCATCCAGCTGCCATGCACGTGGGCATTGTCAGTTTCACTATAGCTCTGGTGAATTTCAATGGTGAAGTCCTCTGGAAATCTTCAATAATTGTTGCTGATTGCAGATGTGTCTAGTAGTTCCCATTGATTTAGTCTGGCCGCTCCCAGACTCAGCGATCATGATCAAAATTTTAATTTTTCAACTGATTAACGCTAAATTCCTTAAATCACCGCAAACGTATTAGCTTCAGGTATAAATAATGATCCATTGGTTATTCCTTGCTGAACAGACTTCTCCTTTAACTAACATCACCTCACTGGTCCAAAGGGCCCAGAAGCGCCTGAACTCCCCCCATCCTCCCCACCTTCTCCAGAAGCACCATAGAGAGCGTTCTGAGCAGCTGTCTCACTGTGTGGTGTGGAGGCTGCAGCGCCTCAGACTGGAAGAAGGTGAGAACAGCAGAGAGGATCATGGGGGCTCCTCTTCCCTCCATTAAAGACATTTCATCCCAGCGCTGCGTGTCCCGAGCCTGTGACATCATCAATGACCCCTCACCCCCCCACCATGGACTGTTCTCCCTGCTGCCCTCTGGGAAGAGGCTTCACAGCATTCAATGCAGGACCAGCAGGTTCCAGAACAGTTTCTTCCCCACCGCCATTAGACTGATTAACTGTTGAGAAAACTCTAAATAACGTCACAGACTCTGCATTGCACTGATAACACCAAACCTAAATACTGCATATTTGCACCATATATATCAATGCGCTGAACTCCCATATCAATGCATTTTTTGCACCATGTTTTTTTTTTTCCCACACATTTGATCACTGCTGCACTTTATGGAATAAAAATGTTCATTTACTGTCTGAAAAGCTGTATTAAACGAAATGTCATTTTGTATACACTCTGTGTATATAAAATTACAATAAAAGTCTAAATTCAATAAAATCGCAGTATTGGTTGAAAATAATCTCAATTTTGATTCTTGGTGAAATCGTTCATCCCTAACAGTTACCGTGGAGACTCTGGGTTCCTTCCTTGATTAATGTTCAGGTTGCCCACCTGGTGAATTTAGGTGGACGGCCATGTCTCTGGTTGCCTCGTGAGACCATCCTGATCTCGCGAGCTTTCAAGGTTTCACTCGCAGATCAGTCTGCAGACTCTCCGTTAAAGAAAATTTGGAGCCGTTCACCAAACGAACGTCCAATCAGCGTTGGCTTTGAGGCGGGTTGAGGTGCTACGCAACGAGAAGCGCGACAGTTCAGTCTAAAGAACATGGTGGCTTCAGCCGATGAAACTAGCGTTAGCGTGGCTATCGAGCAAGTTTTATGGGAATTACAGAGTATTTCTTCACTGAAAGAAGAGCAAAACACTGCTCTGGAGGCTTTTCTCAGAGGAAAAGATGTTTTTGTTCTTCTCCCGACTGGTTTCGCCAAGAGTTTGATCTATCGATTGTCTCCTCTTCGTCGTCGCTCTGTTAGTACGTCATATGCTTCGTTGATCTGATTGGTTTATTTGGCCCGTCTATCACCAACATAGGCCAATCAGCTAACCAGTATTTTCGCCCCTTCCCAAAATTACTTCAACGGAAGGTTTCCAGATGGATATGCGGAGCAAATCCATCTGGCGGAGTCAGGTTAAGTCTCTGGTTTCCATGTTGAGGAAGAACATAGGAGGAGTTTGGAAGCGAGCTAGATGATAAATTGAACAGAGGTGTTGAAAGCTTGGAACATGGCCTTACCCTACGTTAACGTTCTCCTCAACGTCTTTCCTCACCCCCCACCTTCTGCCTTGATGCCGTTTGTTAATTCATGTTTTCCTCCAAACCTCTGAGGCCAGAAGCAGAATGAGTCCCGCTGCAGTTAAAGGTTATAATTTGATGAAATCTCCAAAAGTTCAGGGATAATATAGTTTTGGACATTTATCTCAAAGCCCTGCCTGAGTCGTTCTTTTTTTCAGCCATTTTTCCAGTTTTACTCTCCTGCATCTCTTAGTTGAGTTGTGATATTCATCCACTATGATATTTATCCTAACTTCCTGTCTGCTCGTCCTGCTAAAGCTAACACAACAACGGAGCTGTTGATGAACCCATTGACCGAGTGTTATTATAAAGCAGGGATGCCAGAGGGAACGTCGGCCAAACACGTGTGTAACATTCGCTCTGCATTTCTTAATACACAGAGACATTTTTCAGCGGCTGCACGAGTTCTGCTCCGAAAGCGCAGTGACACAAATTCTGAACGGGTCACACAGTTCAACCGTCAGGGTGGGGAAATATGCTTTTCCTTTTATCGGGAGCGTCCATTGGTGTCCAAAAGGTGCTAAACGCACTGCAAGGACATACATACTCTCTATCTTTCTGAGCTTACCTGTGTTTATGTGTGTTACCATCACGTAAACCAGAGTTTACTTAATTAGAAGCAGGTGGCAGTTATCAGCAAGTCTAAGTCGTTAAGCTTCTGGAAAAGCCTTCCTCATTCCCCTAACTAAACATTATTACACATTTTTGGACTTTGCTTTAAAAGAAAACAGATCCATGTTAAGTGTAGGAGACATTTGTAATTTCCTATGTCTAACGTCACCAGGGGGCGTATTTCATTTTGAGTTCTGATTGTTTGATAGGGGATGGGGTTATTTAAGGTCAGCCATGATTCTGTTCAGGTGATGTTAATGAGAGGAGGCAACAGCTTTATACTGTGTTTGGTTTAGATCAATGACGAATTCATGTAAAGGCAATTAGTTAAACTATGGACATTGTTATGTTAATTCATGACTTTATTATAATCTTAATTGAGCGCACATAAAACCAACGCCTACAGGTACAGCAACCGAGAGCCTAAAATATAGGATTTTAGCCGCTACCTTTAGAATCAGACCAATTAACCGACCTTCAGTCAGAATTATTCCATAATTATGTTACTAAAAACTTGTTTGACAACCTGCTAACAGACATTTGAGAAAACATGATATAAGCAGAGGTTTCTGGTCTGCCGTCAGGGTGGGAAATATGCTTTTCCTTTTATTGGGAGCGTCTATTGGTGTCCAAGAGGTGCAAATGCACTGCAAGTACATAAATACTGTCATGTAAGCCAGAGTTTACTTAATTAGAAGCAGGTAGAAGTTATAAACAAGAACAAAACACGTGCGGGGGTGGGGTGGGGGTAATGGAGAGGTTCACAGTGGGGGAAGCTCAGTCAGCCGGAGCTCACAGCAGCGGTCGCCACAGAGGCGCTGACAGCTGAGACCTTGATAAATGTCTTAGCGAAGGTAATGATCCTACAACAGCGGAAGCAGCGTTTGTTTTCTGATTCTTAGATGTCAGCAGTGGCTCCCGCACCCACAGAGAGCCACACATGGAAAAACAGGCTTCATAAAGAAAGACGAGTCATTCGCTGCTTATGACGCCGAGACAAAGATTCAAGCTGGAGGACTCCATCCAGCCTCATTTCTCATCTGATCCAGTCCTGCTTAGGGGTGTGGGAAATAATCGTTTTGGCGATATATCGTGATATTTGGCTGCCCAATATAATATCGATCTTTCACTTTTTAGTATTGATTTAAAAATAAAAATGGTTACATAAAACATTGATGGGAAAATGGGCTACCTCTGCACCACCACTCTGGCAGAAAGCGCTGTGGAGCCCTTTAACTGTGCGTGCAGCACCAAATCTGTATTGGAGGCAGTCACAGTGGAAGTAACCCCCAAACAACATGGATAATAATACCTAATCAATATTTTCTGATGAAAATATACAGCACTTGCTGTTTTATCTCATCATTTGATTTCTATAGCTGGGGAAAATATGGCAATATATAGTGATACTGCAATATCTTGATAATATCGTATCGTGACCAAAGTATCGCGACATGTATCGAATCGCAACACTCATGCCAATACTCACCTCTAGTCCTGCTACAGGCCTATCAGCCCTGCACCACGCCTTCGCTGTGGCCAATCATCTTCTGGAAGTCTGCTTTTAAATGAGCAATGAGGAATAATGACAACTATGCTTTAAAATTTAAAACAAGACACAAATAATTATCATAATTATTTATATTTCTGTGATAGACTGAGTACACCCCCCTGATTCGACTCCACAGGATGGGATCAGAAATGCTCAGTAGCGGTATTATAGTTCTGGTATAGTTGGATCAGAGCACAAGTTTCCAATCTTGGCCCCTTGGGATCCGCTGTCCTGCAAGCTTTAGGCAAATCCTTGCTGCTACACACCTGACTAAAAGTGACCAACAGGTTTCTGCAGCATTTAAACCAGATAGGCTGCAGCAAAGACAATATTTATTATAGTGATGGTATCGTTGTCCAAATGCAGCTGTCCTTCCATCTATTAATATGTCTGTTAAACCTTTCTTTATTCCACTCAAAAGTATGAAAAGATATATAAACCCTAAAGGAAATCAGCAAGGAATAATCAATCGATCATTATTTATACCTAAAACTAAAACGTTCACAGTGATTTAATGAATTTAGCATTAAAATCATTGAGTCTGGGAGCGGCCATTTTTGCCCAAGTCTAGTAGCCCCTCCCTCCTGCCATCTTCCAGCAGTGACGTCACGGTGCGGTAAGCCTAGCGCCATTCTCCCCGCTTTACAAGCTAAATCAATGGGAACTACTAGACACATCTACAATCAACAACAATTATTGAAGATTTCCAGAGGACTTCACCATTGAAATTCACCAGAGCTATAGTGAAACTGACAATGCCCACGTGCATGGCAGCTGGATGCTGGAATACATCGGGTAAAAGTGGAAAAAAAAGAGTTATTCCACCTTTCTGATTCCTGATCCTCCACGGACGGGTTGGTCGTTGGATCGCCAACTTGTAGAGGGAGGATTTGCCATCGAACTTCTGGCCAGAGAAAAAACCCGTAATATGTAGCCAACATTTGGAAGAAGAATGTTTTCAAGATGACTTGGATAATAGCGCGTTGTGACAAACACCAGATACAGCACTGGGACTTGATCAACAGCCGATACCGCACCGTGACGTCACTAACCAGTAGGTGGCAGTGGTGTTCTTTGACAAACATGGATGCCTCCAGTAAAGCACATTCACATGAAAATTACTCTGAATTAAAAACACTGATCATTTATTGAACAGGATGGAATCATTTCACATTTAAAGAACTTTCAGAAGTTTGAATTCTGAATATGAGCGACTTTTCCTTTAATAATAAAATAGGTTTTTACTTCTAAACTAATATTAATTGAGGCTTAAAAAATATCTTTGTTGTTGTTTACTGTATATTACCTATGTAACTTTGTGTTTCTTGGCCAATAAGGGTTATATAAAAACAAATTAAGTGCATCTGACTGTTGCATCACAGCAAAAAGTTACTGAGGATGAATCCTGGCTGCTTGCATGTTTTCTCTTCCTACTCCAGCTTCCTCAGAAAACAACTATGATTATAGCTTAGGTTGGGTTAGGATGACCCTGCGGTTGATCTCTGGTCCTGAAAAGATGCAGGAGGTATAAGAACAGACTAATTTATTCTAACACAGGTATCATTTCGTAATCAAGATTGTGGATTACTATTTTTATCTTACAGAAAACTTTTTTGAGGGCTGCTCAGTGGAGCAGTGGGTAGCACTGCTGCCTTGCAGTAAGAAGGTTTTGAGTTCAATTCCTGGCCTGGTGTTTTTCTGCATGGAGTCTGCATGTTCTCCCTGAGCATGCGTGGGTTCTCTGTGGGTACTCCAGCTTCCTCCCAAAGTCCAAAAACATGACTGTTAGGTTAATTGGCTTCTCTAAATCCTCCTCAGGTGTGCATGAAAGCCTGTTTGTCTCTGTGTTGCCCTGCGATGAACTGGCGACCTGTTCAGGATGGACCCCGCCTCTCACCTGTAGACAGCTGGAGACCCCACCCCCTTTGCACCAGCACCCCTTGCCACCCCGCTTGAGATAAACGTGATGGAAAATCATGTGGAGTTTAACACATTTTGAGTTGAGAAAATCCCCCGATCAGTGTGTTAAATCTGTGTAGTTTAATTTTCACTTATTTATAAGGTCAGTTTATTTCTGCAGTGCAAGTGCATTAAACCCAAGTCAACTACTGTGTAGTCTTCCCTTAGCTCTACTGTGCAGATATTTTTATATCTAATGGAAACATATTTACGGAGCCCCTCTGATGACATGGACAAAAAAAAAATGTTTAATTGTAGCCACGTAGTAGTATTTCGTGCGCACGAAATACTACTTCGTGGCCACACAATAAGTTTAACGTGCGCACAATACTAACTAATAATATCAATAAATCCGCCCCTGTTTTCAGGCTTATGTTAACTGTAATGACTTATCTTGGACAGGCTGCTATGTAAACGGGCCTTTAGTCCTTCGTTTAGCTATGCTGCGGTTGTTTACACTACGCCTAAAATGGCATCTTAGCAACAAATGTCACGTGACTGGCGGAGACCGACTGGGTAAGTAAATCGAGCGCGCCTTAGACCTTAGAGAAGGCGCGCTCGATTTGCTTACCCAGTTGTCCAGGAATGATATTAATATTATTAATAAGTATTTCGTGCGCACGTTATACTTATTGCGTGGCCACGAAACACTACTTCGTGGCCACAATAAAAATTTTTTTTTGACCATGTCATCAGAGGGGCTCCGTACATATTGCAGGACATTACAACTTTTTTCTTTTTTTATGCTTTTTTGGTACTATATACACTCTTTTTTGCTTTAACTCTTTTTACTCTATATAAGCTACTGGAACCAGAATTTTGCCAAGGAATAAATAAAGTTGAGTCCAAGTATAAGTCTGATCATGTTTGAACGTGGACAAGGCTGGTAAAATGACCAATATGTTTTGTCTGCACATTTGTGAACATATAGGAGAGAAAATATACATATAGAGGAGAGGAGAATAGGAGAGAGAGTTTCTGAAGCAAAGCTGAACAAGATCTAAACTAACAGCTGGGAGGAAATCCATGGGAGCCAAGTGTGAATAGAAACATTTAACAAGAGGAAGGCCAAAAAAAAGGAAAATAGTGGAGTGTTAAATGTGACACCTGAATGGTTGGTTAAAACTGGGCCCACCTGTCTGGTACCTACCTGTTTGGTGAACAGGATGGCAGTGTCCCAGTACTCCGGGTGCTTATCACTGACTTTATTTAACTTCTTCTGCCAGGAGCAGAAGTTGCGCAGCGTCAGAGCAGCATTGCTGGAAATCTTTGGTCCCTTGTCAGCTTCATTTATCACCATGAAGCCAACCACCACAATGTTTATGGAGTTCAGTATGCTGGGGTGCTTGTACAGCCTGGCAGCTACTGACATCAGGGTCAGAAGGTAATGCTTGAGGTCATCCCCGTGGAATGCAGCCATGGACTGATCTGCCACTACAAGCACCTCCACAAACCTGGGGATAGAGGCGAACCTCTTGGACCTCCCCAGGGATTTAAGGACGCCTTCTGTCAACCAATCAGCGTCCAGCTCACTCAGGCGTTTGTATTTGTCCAGAGAAACGCTGAAGTTGGTTTCCGGGGTGACTCCACACCTGCTGGTGAGGTTGTTCCCTAAATGCACCGCGACCCCCCTGCGGCTGATCATGTGAGATGTTTCCAAAAAGTTTCCATAACCAGACGCAGCTGCAGGGCTTGTGGTGATGAAATACTCCATGCCTTTATAGGAGAAGCCCCCCCGCAGACCCCGGCACAGGCTGACTGCTGCAAAGGAGTCCGGGTCTGCGTTTACATCACCGGAGTAGAAGCATCTCCTGAGGTCAGCTGAAGCGTTGGATGCTGCAGATCCGCTGCCTGCTGCGAGGAAACTAGAATCCGGCCTGAGGCGCAGGAAAAACTCCTGTCTGAATGCATTCAGCCTGAACACAACACGCTGCCCACGCATCTGCTGGTCAAGGCGGACAGGTGTGCAGAAATCCACCTCCATGCACGATGATAATGTCAAATAAAGTAGAAATTGAGTGAAGAGCGGTAAAAGCGCAGCCCCGGCCATTTCTGCGGCGCGTCTGCGCGGGATGGCACCGCGCTCCAAGTCGCGCGTCCTGACTAAACTTCTACAAACGCGCTTCTGTCCAGCTTCTCGCCCATCTTCCACTGGCTCCACTCTACACACGATCCTCTCCAGCTGCTGAGCTTTATAGCTGCGCTCAAAACCAGCGGTTGGTGTCAAGTGAACCCTGAGTGCGTGCGCAGCAGAGAGCTGCTCCAAGTCATTCTGCGGCTGATTTCACTCCAAATCTCCGTGCATGTAGCATATGAGTCAGCAGCGGGGGGCACACCCTCTCCTGTATCAGAACAAAACGAATAAACCACCAAATATTAAAGAAAAACAAACCTGTAGTTTTTTTCTCCCACAGTAATATTTACTGAATATATAAAAGATGTCCTGCTTTTTATTAAACTCAAGAAACTTCCATAAATGAACACGATTAAAGCCCTTTAAAGGTTTCTTAGTTTTAGGATGGACAGAGATGTTCTACTTAAGTTTTTAGGTGAATTTATTACCTGCACAGTAAAAAGTCAGTGAACCTGTCAGATTTGGCAATAATCATAGAATGAAAGTCATTCAGTTCTATTCAGTTTATTTCTACAGCTACAATTCACATCCTGTCATCTCAGATCACTTTCCACTTCACCAGATCATCCAGTCAGATTGATTCAAAGTTTTCTATCTAAGGAAAACCAGCTGATTGCATCGACTCATTGACTCTTCAGCAATCCCTCACACTAAGCATGCTTGTAGCGACAGTGGAGAGGAAAAACTCCCTTTGAACAGGAAGAAACCTCCAGCAGAACCAGGCTCAGTGTGAGCGGCCATCTGCTGAGGCCCACTGGGGTTCAAGGAGACAGAAGCAGACATAGAAAAAGAAGCATAGATACAAAAGGCAACTGTCAACCAGCTCCACAGGCGGCCCCGTCCAGGAAACACACAGCCAGGCAGACGAGCTCCGAGCCAGCTCCCATGTCAGAGGATGAAGAGAGCACATCCAGTTAGTCACAGTCAGAGAAACAGGACTACACTGGAAAACAGGCCAAGCTCCAACATCTAGAAACAAAGGTGTTGATGGCAGCAGCACAGCTGATGTTTCTCTCATCCATTAAGTCATCCATTTTTTATCGATATAAAAGTATTTTCCTTTGATTTAAGCAGGGGAGTAAAACACTTTGACAATGGAGTAAGATGATTTTTTTTAAATCAGGAAAAGTAATCTTACTATTGTGCATAATGTTTAATTATCTTTGTCAGGAATCCAGTTTGTGTTGTCTGTTTTTGTGTTTCCTTTCCTCCTCCACCAGGTGGTGCCCTGTCCTCATTTGGTCTCTCTGCACACCTGCAGCTCATTGCCTCATTACCTGTGGAGTGCTCTTAAGCTGCTGACTGCCACTACCTCGACGCGAGAGTGTTTGCCAATACAGGGAAGTCATCCTGCAAACTGGATTTGTTTGGACCTTCTCTCTCTGGAAGGATCAACTGAGCTTCTAACTGAGCTGGGGTTCCAAACAGGAAGTTTGGATCCACTTTCCCCAAGAGGTTGTTTGAGCTTCACACCGAGCAAAGTTTTCATCTGCACCGCAGCCCGTTCAAGTACCGCAGGAAATCTGAGTGGCAGTAAGCTTCTCCGTTCACCTAGGAGCAACCACAGTCTGAGTAAACCCCGTCCGCCCATCACCAAACAAGACAATCACTGGAACCTTCCCACACAGACTGGATTCCATAAAGGACACATTTTTCTGGAGAAGTGAGTCTGCAACCTATTCCTCCAATTAAAGCCTAAGAGTCTAATTTCCCATTGAGCCTGAACTAACCGCAGTGTCTTCCCCTCACTTTCCAGTTCCGGTTTGACAGTGTTCCGAGCAGCACTGGATTTATCACCATATTCTTAATAAACCTGTTAAACTTTTCCCTGGTCTCTCTGTTGGTCTTCTGCATTTTGGGTCTGACCTTTAATTAAATCTTGAAAATCTTATCTTACGGGCAAAAATCCAAATTTCATGGACAGATCATCTTGTCAACAAGCTAAAATGAAATCGGTAAAAATACAGTTATTAAAAAAAATTGCAATGACTTCTGTATCGTTTTTTGCTTTGAAATAAAAATCTGTTTGGAAACATATATTTGCTAATTTGCAAGTTTGTTTTTTTTTCATTTGCCAGCAATATAAATTCTCAGTAAAACACTTAATCCTGTTTTTATCTGTACTTGCTCAAATTTTTCAACCATTCCAAAAAAATTTAATAAAAACAATCCACTGGACTTGGTTTCCAAGTTTAGACGTTTCGCTTTTTCAATTCAAAATGTCAGAAATAGCGTTGAGGATGAAGCTTTATATAGCAGCCCAAAAAGATGTTTTGGCTTAAAAAACATGCACATTTTTTTTTTTTTTTTACTTTTTTGGAGTGACTGGATGACTGAGAATCTTCACCAGCATTTTCCATCCATTCTATCATTGACTTTATATAAAGCACTTTAAAATGCCTTCGACCTGAATTGTGCAGTACAAATAAACTTACCCAGACTTTCCTCGGTGACATCAGAGTGATGAAATGAAATGCTGTAATTGCAAATGAAAAACATTGATGCCATTCCCCACATGTAGGGTTCATTCCTTCCTGAAAATGAAGGAATGAACCCCATGAGCTTCAGTAAGAAACTACACACAGTGGCAGCAGCATTAACTTCAGCTAAGGGGTCATGTTGCCACCAGTGCAGAACTTGCCAGAAATGGCAGTAGGTTTTATTGTTTCTATATTGACTTTCATCAGGAGAATCGAACAGCTGATGGTGTCAAGGAAGGTGAAAAATAGCAATGAGAGACAGACACTCTGCTGAGAATCTGAATTCAGCCAATCCCCCCCCCCCCAAGCTTTTTGGACCATCAGGAAAAAAGACAATCTGGAAAAAATCAGGTCATCAGCCTGCAGGAAGCATCCAGGCACTGTCTATTGGTGGTGGTCACACTTCCAAACCCCTATCATGACTAACAAGTCCTAAACATCCTGCTGGAACATGTCCTAAAATGACATTTTCCTCCATGTCCAGGAAACTTCCCAGTCTTCAGTCCTGGTCAGAATCAATAAAGCTTTGCGTAAGCTTATTGCATTTCTCAGTAGAAGCCTGTAAACGTGTGATTATGTTCTTACTGCAGAACTGAACAGAAACATCTCCATAGAGATATAAATCAAATGAAGTTTGTGAGAAACACTGCAGGCAAACAGCGACACCAGCAGGTGGTAGGATTCAATCAGGCCCATTGATTGCTGTACTCTTCTGCCATCTAGTGTAGGAATTATGAAACTGCCTTTAATGGAGGTTTGTTTGGGATTTCTTGGTCTTCCACTGCATGTTCGTCAACATGATGGGAGCATGGCTTTCCTCTTGCCAGAGATCAGCAGAAAGAGCAGATCCATTAATAAACCTACCTCTAAAATAAATGGTTTATAAAGATAAAAGCATTTGTTTAAAAGTTTCCCAAAACAGAATCATTTTCCTCTAAGCTCACATAGATCAATACTAAATAGACCTTATAGATGGGAATACAGGCTGCTTACAAACATTGACCTTTACTATTTCTTTTTTGAAGTCATCTGGTTGGATTTCCGTGTAAAAAAAAAAAAAGATTAAATATAAAATAAAAATTGGTTTGTGATTGCAATAAAAAATACATTTGGGAAAAATTTAGTAAAACCTGCCTGTAGGAGCTAATCATGTTTTGTTAATATTTAAAAATGTTTTTGTTTTTGTGCATAATCTAGCTAAGTTTATTTTACTTTATTGTTTGAAACCTGTTTTGAGATAAGTTTTTTTGGTTATTTAGTCATGTTCCTTTGTTTTTGGTTAGTTATGATTAATTTAGGTGAATTATTTTTTTTATAAATAGGCAGTCAATCATAGGACCTGCATGCATCTGGGTGGGCGTATGGTTTTTTTCTATCAGTGCAAGAGAAACATGGAGTTTACCTGGAACATTTTTTCTTTTGCCTGCATAAAATAAGTCCACGGTGCATCTGTGGCCTGTGCGGATTTCCATGTTTTGTGTGTCATCAAAGCTGGGCCACAACACTGCCAAATCTGTCCCTAAAGATCATCCTTTATATGCTTGGAACTACAAACCCACCTGAATCATTGTGATCAGAACAGATGAAAACATTAGTTTACATATTAGTGTTCTTTCTGGTCCGCCAGCCTCCAGCTTGTTGTGATGAACAGGAAGTCTGGATGTAGAAGAGGCAACGTTTGCTTTGAACGCTGCTGGGAGGAACCGCTGCATGCAGGAGACCATGAGGACCATGATGGAGGTTAAAGAACAAGCATCCAAAGCAGCAAGATGAGTCTCCCTAATTCACAGCAATACCAGCATATCACTGCACCTCTGATGTGAATAAATCTGTCAGAATAAGCAGCCTGCACAAACCTTCAAAAACAGCCACAGACAGGTGGTTTTCTCATTAACTTTTATCAGGAGAAACAAATAGATGAACATGCAAGTAAATCCATTTAACATTTGACCATATTAACCATCGTTGGTGCTAAATAAGTTTATTTTTTTTATTTTTTTTTATTATTTAATTTCTCCTTGTATTTATTGTAACTGGTGCCTCCTCTTTAAGTATAATTTCTAAGTTACTGTACTTTTACTTGTGTGAAATATTTGTTTCACTCTTTCTACCTCTGCAAAGCAGGTAGTGCTGTTCAGGAATAATCTGCGGCTGTGATGTGTCAATAATCTGGGGGGGTCCACCCACCCAAAGTTGGGCAAACAGACTTCAGAGGTTTAGTGCCACCCCTGCCCCCCTCTAGCTCCGCCCTTTGGGACCACACCGCTTAGATCAGCTTCAGAAGCAGGATTAAGTTAAAGTGAAAAATATATAAACTTTCCAAGGTTTCATTTTAGGGCATCTTGCATCCAAGAGGCAGTTCCTGGGGGCCACATAAAACTTTACATATATGGTTAATACAACTATTCCTTATTTGTGCGCATTAATTATGTTTTTGATGAAATCCTTTCTCTAAAATACCATCAGAACGCTGATAATATCAAGTGTGTCTCAGCCCCCCCCCTTCAGTGTCCACCATATTGGATCAGTCCATTTGCTGCACATGTTCAGAAAGGTCCAAACAGACAGCAGCAAACCATTTGAAAACAAACCATGCAAAGAGCAGCGTTGCCAACTTAGCGCTTTAGTCGCTATATTTAGCCACTTTTCAGACCCCTCTAGCACTTTGATTTCTAAAAAGCTCCTAGCGCCAAATCTAGAGACTTTTTTCTGCTACTGGAGACTTTGGAGACAACATCTAAAAGCAGCGAACTCTGCTCTCCAGAGCGAGTAGATTGGTAACCCCGCCTCCTGCTCTCCTAGTGAGCTTAGTGCTTGGAAAAAATCTTTCATTCCTTTAGAGACAGCATGACAAGTCAGCTGAGTACAAAACATAGAGAGGAAAACAAGAAGAAAAGGGACAAGAAGAGAGGGACACAACCTAGAACACATAATGGATGTCTATTCTATTAACATTTCTCTATCTCTATAATGGGTCTGTTATATTTGTTGTCTTTTTAGTTCAGAGGCCCCCTGCTTGTCTTTGCCTAGGGCCCCATATTTGCTAAACCCGCCCCTGCATACAGCATTTATTCTTTGCAGATGGAGACAGGTTTAGGCTTTGGGGTCCAAACCGGTGCTGTTCTATAGAACGGTTCTATAGATCAGCAGATAACGAATAATGGGATGATTCTATTTCTAAGGTGGTTGTTGTGGCAGTTCTCCCCGGTGAGTGGGACCTGTCACTCTCACATGGCTCCAAAATAACTCGCGTGGCAGACTTCCAGTTATGTGTATCCTTGTATATAAAGGTCCAGTGCTGCCATATAGCAGCGCTGGTTAATAATAGGAGCGCGGCTGTCAGGCGCGGGGCCAAGGATCGGCCTCCTCTCATTGGATCCGTGCGGTTTTTTCCGCTACTTTCTGGTGAAGCGCTGGTGGGAGGAGAATTTCCAGCAAGTAGTGATATCAGAAATAAACCCCGTCCTGTCTGAGGGAAGAGCAGGACATATAAATACCCCTGATGTGTCCAGACTGCAGTGGAACTGCTTAGAGGAACAGACAGTTGAGAAACAGGCTGGACGCACCGCTTCCTAAACATTACGCTTCATTTCTCCCCTGCTGCAGCCAGAAGATGCGCATCTACGCCTGCTTCGCCTCCTGGTTCCTCTGCTGGTTCAGCGGAGCGCTCGCCTCCCGCTTTGAATCGGAGGATGTTGTACCTGTTAGGATGAACGGTCGAATCAGAGGGCGCTTCTGGAAAAGGAGCGAGGAGAACCCGGTGTTTACCCTCAGAGCTTTCGGCAGGAACCTGACACTCAACCTCATCCCGGACTCCAGCTTTCTATCGCCGTCCTTCACCATCCAGCGCATTAGAGCCGCGGATGGAGGCGCTTTGCGCAGCGGCTCAGGTGCCCGAGCCGACCTGCGCTCCGGCCCCTGGGGCCCCATGAACCGGACAGAGGAGAGCGGAGGACGGCTGCAAAGCTGCTTTTACTCCGGTAACGTGGGTGAGGACCAGAACTCGCTCGTAGCGGTTAGTCTGTGCTCGGGCATCTTTGGCTCCTTCATCACGGAGGGGAAGGAGTATCTGATCGAGCCCAAAGTGCGCAGCGCCCGGGGGCCGGACTCTGCCGAGAGGCTGCATGTGATCAGGAGGAGGACAGCCGCCGACAGCCCCGCGCTCCCCCTCTTGTTTGATGGCTCTGCGGAGGCGCGCGGAGCGGAAAGTTTTACGCGCGGCAGCGGTGACGCACGGAGGGAAGCTCGACGCAGACGCTTCGTTTCAGAGCCAAGGTTCATAGAAACCCTGGCTGTAGCAGACTCAACCATGACCCACTTCTATGGAGATGAAATAAAGGTCAGGGGTCATATGATCGCTCACACCTCCACTCACTCAACCAACATTTAGGATGAGCTTTCTGAGTATTACAAACAAAACAAAAACACTTATTGGGAACATAAAGAAGAATCAGATCTGTGATATTAGAAGGAGTTTGGCCAATTTTAGAGAACCTTAGAGATAGCTCAGGATAACCTGAGCCACTCTAACTAGAAGCTTTATCAAAAAGGAAAGTTTTAAGCCTAGCCTTAAAAGTAGACAGGGTGTCTGCCTCACGGACTAAAACTGGTTCCACAGGAGAGGTGAAACAGAATTGTTTTCTTATTTTAAGTGTAAATTGTCTTGTTCCATTGGCGGCAAAATGTCTCATTTACTTCCTTGATCCAAGACCAAATGCACTTATTTTAAGATAATTTTTTTCTAGTGTAATAAAGAGAATTAGTCCTAGCACTGATCCATGTGGTACTCCACAGGTAACCCTGGAGCAGGAAGAAGGTTTATCATTAACGTAAACATACTGAAATCAGTCAGATAGATACGATTTAAACCAGTCTAGTTCTCTTTCTAAGCATGCTTAGTGTGAGGGATTGCTGAAGAGTCAATGAGTCGATGCAATCGGCTGGTTTTTCTTAGATAGAAAACTTTGAATAAACCTGACTGGATGATCTGGTGAACTGGAAAGTGACCTGAGATGACATGTGTTGTGAATTGGCGCTATAGAAATAAAGTGAATAGAATTGAAATATTTTTACTGCCAGTTTTAGGAACATATTTTGCAGAGTTGAATATAATTCAGTTCTTAACATCAACTTTAGGAGAAGAGTGTTGGTTAAAACAAAAAAGATTCTGCTCAAATTTCACTAAAATCTAAATTTGTTGGTCTTCAAATTTGGCTTTAAAATGATTATTGTTTAAAAAAAAAAACAAGAAACATTGTGGTCATTTCTAGTTCTGGAAGGATGTGGGAATGTCCAGCATCCATTTGGTTAAAGATGCAGAAGTTCCAGACAGGTAAGATGATGTCATTTCATTTAGAGTCATAATGGACTGAGAACTGGTGAAAAAAGGGTAATGGAGGATTCCATTTTGTGTCCTGATGAAACAGCTGCTGCTTTTTGTGCAACTTGAAATCACCTAAGCAGGAGTTTCTGACTCAAACTAGTGTGAAGAAAAGCCAACCTTGACCTGACTATGGAGCCTGTTTAGTGAAGAATCGCTCTAACTTTCCTGGCAGATTCTCATTTCCTGGGTTTCCCATCCTGTACGTTAGGTCTGACTTCACCGCTAGTAGAAAACCCACAAGGCATTGCTTTGTTTTCCTCTGCTGCTTCACGAAACGTGCTTTTGGCCCTCAGGAAGGCTGAGTGGAAATATTTGGGCTGAGAGAAGAAGTCAGGCAACAGAAATGTAAAAAATGCCGTAGCACATTCCTTAAAGCTTTGTCACATTTTGGCGTCATTGCTTCACTATCATCCTGAAAGATTTATGGGGTATGCATTGATTTATCAAATGCTATTTTCTTTAAGAGCATCAGAAACTATTTCAGGGTGTCTTCACTTGCAGACGTCAGCATGACAGTAATAACTGAGTTCCTTTCAAAACTATAGATTATTTTGCAAAAACGTTTTTTGCCATTTGTTATTTTACAGCTGGAGATTCACTTATTTAAATAGCAGGTGATGATGAAGTAGGACATGCCTGGTTTTTTGAGATTTCTAAATCTGAAAAGTGTGAAGTGCATATAATCAGCCCCGTTTAATCCTTACTTTCTGGCACCACTGTTCTCTGCAATTACGGCTACAGTTCATTCAACATGTGTCTTAATCAGCTTTAGCAGGCTTTATGAGCCTTTTGGAGATGCCATCTCCAGGATACAGGCAAAAACATGCAGACTTTATTCAGCCAAGATAAGAAAAGCAATCCTACAATCCAAGGAGCAGCTTGGAGAAGGTGAAGGAACTCTGCTTCCACATCCAGCAGCTGCTCTCTGCTCAGTCAGGAGATGCTCGCTAGTATTTCTGTTAAACTACTCGAGAGCGTCAGGAAGTTTCCGGCGTCCAGAGGTGGCGCAGGGATTTGCAGACCTGGGAACCGAACTGGGAGCCATTTTCAGCCCTGGCATTTTTTCATCTACACAGGTCCATTTATGGAAGCATAGTCAAACGCCTGCATCTCACATGTGAAACACGATATGAACACAGATTGTGGATTAACCGATCTATCTTCAACCATCACCAAGACTTCTAGAATTCGGTTTTACTGGCTTTGATTATTAACACAGACGCAACAGTGACTGCTGCTGCGTTACGTCCAAATTGCACAAAGCCAGCCAAACACCCACTCACACATACTAGGTCTACAACATCAGCCAGAGTGTTGTAAAAACACCAATATAAAACAAAACAATATGGAGGCAGACAGGCCGTTTTTCTAGAATGAATCCATTAAAGCTCAGCGGTGTGTCAGCATCACTGCCAGTCCAGGTGGCATGTGGGCAAAGAAATGGAATAATGTAAACAGATGCAAAACCCATCATGCACCGCAAAATATTCTTGCAAAATATCTTAACATAAATTTGCCAAATATAAGAGGAACATCGTAGTTTGGTTTAAAGAAAGCATTTTAGTTTCGATTATAATTTAGTTTATTGCAAGAAGAAATAGAAAATGACACCATATGCCAACCGTCACAAGGACGCACATTACAGGGAAGGGCTATATATACTGCATGCATCATTTAGGTAGTTAGCATTGGATTATTTCTTGAACTCCGGAGAGTAAGTGTTGGGGCCGGTATGATTAAAGAAGAGCCGGCCCTCACACGCTGAAATTAGGACCAGCCCAACGGGCAAATGCCCGCTATCACAGATTACCAGTTGGAGTCTGTGGATTTGGTCCTTTGACATTAGCTGCATCTCTTTCTTTCTCAATCCCATCCCATATCTGACTTCTAAAAATAAAAATAGAAGCCACTAGTTCCTAAAAAAAAAATGCATTCCAACTTTAGCTTTAGCTTTATGAAAATGGGCAAATCTGAAGGTTGAGCTGTGCTCCAAAAGTGCAGCAGAGCTTCAGCTTTTTCACTCACCTGCAGGCTTGACTTTGCTCTCTGAAGTTGGATGGAGAGTCTGAGAGCAGAACGTCTCAATCTCTGCTTTTCTTATAAATTTCCCAGCCTTTAACCTCATTCATCTCCCAATCATCTCTGACCAGCGGTCCTGCTCAAGCTTCATAGAAATGTAGATTTTCCATCCTACATAGGGCAAATGGCCAGAAGGTCTGGAGCTGATGCCTTCAAAGAGATTTCCAGTTTTAGTTTCCTGCATTTTGCAAATAGGAATATGAATGAATGAATTACCCATGTCTGGACTCTCATTATTTTCAGTGCCTTTTATTTATTTATTTGAAAGGTTTTCAAAGTAAAAGAAAAAGAGTCCAAAAGCAAGCTAAATTTTTTGTATTTTCATATTAGTAAAAAACAAATTAGAAAAAGGAATCCATTGACCCTTTTTTCTCCATTTATGAGCTCCTTGGTGTTGAAATGTAACATTTAATCACACTATAATACTTAGTTTTATGCAGCACAATGTAAAACTGTTCAACAGGATGAGGTAACATGAACATCGTGTCTCTGCTGCCTTTAACAAAACAAAATCAGAGGACTTTTTCAAACCAAGAAAGGCTCAGTCTGTTTGCATTTAGCGCTGTCCTCAGCTGCCAAGCTCTCTTAGGCAACCACACACCAGGATCAGATGGACTGAATGTTAAACTGGCCACAAGCACACATTCCCCCGATTCACAACATGTCCCCACCTGTGGGCAGGTGGGGGAGGATGTGTGCAGATGTGGAAATGTGTCCCTGTGGAACCTTGAAAGGTGAAGTCCGCAAGCTCCTCCATCCTTTAAACATTTTTAGACAGTAAACAAATCAAGTTCCTGTAGTTCTCCCAAACTTGATCCAGGCATGGCGTGAGGAGACATGCAAAGCAGCTGGACTCTTTTCCTCTGTTTTAATCAGAAGAAACGTTCCTGCATTGGTGATTTGTTTTTTTTCCCCAGGGACCAATCACATGTGCTCCGTTTTCATTAGTGTTTTAGAGCGGAGTGGCAGCCTGGTGGTCAGGTCATAGAGCTTGGAATCTTAAGGTTCTGAGTTCCTACAAACTCCCACAGACTGACACTCTGGGTCTCTAAGCAAACACCCTTAACCCCACTCTTTGGGTGCTGCACAATGGCAGCCCACCTCTCCCCAAGGGGATGGGTTAAATGCAGAGAGTTCATTTCTCCAATGTGAGATCAATAAAGTTCAATTATTATTATTTCAATTATTATTTACACCATCTGCCCTCAGAACCAGCAAGACAAGCCTGGGCCATTTCAAATCAAATATAATTGAGTTTCAATTCAGTTTATTTCTATAACTCCAATTCACATCATGTCATCTCAGGTCACTTTCCAGTTCACCAGATCATCCAGTCAGATTGATTCAAAGTTTTCTATCTAAGAAAACCAGCTGATTGCATCGACTCATTGACTCTTCAGCAATCCCTCACACTAAGCATGCTTGTAGCGACAGTGGAGAGGAAAAACTCCCTTTGAACAGGAAGAAACCTCCAGCAGAACCAGGCGCAGTGTGAGCGGCCATCTGCTGAGGCCCACTGGGGTTCAAGGAGACAGAAGCAGACATAGAAAAAGAAGCATAGATACAAAATGAAACTAGAGTATTAGCCAATCAAAATTTCCCCACTTTCCTTGATGGGCCCTTGGCTGGTCGTTGGCTGGTCCCCTACAATTACTTTTTAAACATCAATCTTTGTACTAAAATATTGTTTCATTGTTGTCCTAATTTGTGGACATTAAGATCTAAAGAGAATCACCATCTCTTTTTTTTTTTTACGGCATCCTGTCTGGCAATGTGGCAAGAAGAATAATTGTCTTGATGCCAAAGAGCCCAACAGATTTTACTTTCACAAGTGGAGCAGTATGGCAATTGCCATATTGCTCCACTTGTTTCATGCATAGAGATTGCTTTATTATAACTATGCAGGGAGGTTTACAGTTTATATGGACACTGCAATGTAAAAAGAGCAGAAAAACAGAAGAAGAAAAAGAAAAAAAGAAAAAAAAGAGAAAAGATGAAAGAAAGAAGAGATAGAAAGGAGCTAATGACAAAACATTTTCAGTCTGCTTCACAACCAAAAGACATGGTACGAGACATACAATAAAGCAACACCTTGAAACTATCGCTAAAGTAATATTATTAAGTCTGACATGTACTCTATGTCACCTGAAGATATGAAGAGAAGCGCCATCTCATGGTCAGACCCTGTAATTTAATAAAAGGGTGGAGTCAGAGGGGTCACTCCAGAGGCTGGAAGTTGGAGGGGATTTTGCTGGGAGTTGCAGGGAAGTGGGATGCAATTCGGCTGGCATTTTTTTTATTGGCTCCCACTGTAAATGTGTGAATGAACTATTCTTTTAAGCGTCACTGGCTGTATTTGTCTCTAAAACGTTTGTATTTAACTAAAATATATGACTAATATGTGTTTGTGTAATATGTAACTACTATGTATTCGATTGCAACAAAATTATTTAGTACAAAAAATACAAATCTTAAATTGGACATTTTAATTAACTAAACAGAACAACTAGCTGTTCCAGCTGAAGCTGATCCTAACTAACGTGCCAGCTCCTCATCATTCTAACTTTAGCTTTTCTTCTTTCCTCTTCTCTGCAGTACTACATCCTCACCCTCATGTCCATGGCGGCTCAGATCTACAAGCACCCCAGCATTAAGAACTCTGTGAACATAGTGGTGGTAAAGATGCTGGTGGTGGAGGATGAGGAGATTGGACCAAAGATCTCCAGCAATGGAGGCGTGGCTCTAAGGAACTTCTGCTCCTGGCAGCAGATCTTCAACCCACCAAGCCAGAGGCATCCAGAGCACTATGACACGGCCATGCTGTTCACTAGAGAGGTGAGGGACGCGCAAAGCTTCCACTATGTCCGTTCAGTAATCAGCCTAAGATGTTTTAACCTGTAGTTCATCACGACATCAGATTAACAGTCTTATCAGCACATTAGCTGACAATCTTCTCTTTTTTTTAACAACCACTCCCAACCACCAGTAGAAAACACTCTCTGCTCATTTTAATGGGCACAACCAAACTGGTTTGTAGATCCGCTGCTACACGGCCGTTTAATGGAGGTACTAACCAAGAACACAAAATAACTACAACTACTGAGAGAAGAGACACACGGATACAGATAAAAATGATCTTAGTCCAAATGGGAGCAAAACAGGCTGCTTTGCTTCTATGTTAATGGATTTATTATTCTTTCATTTTTGTTTTTCTCACATTAGAGATGAAAATGACTTTAAAGTCATATTTAAATGTCATATCATTCTGGCTTAAACATTTATATAAATGTACTCTTTATCAGACAATATTGTCCCAAAATTTAGAACATTTCTATTTTAAAAAATCTGTGTTTTTTTTTTTTACCATTATCTTCTGCAGGACAGTTAGTTCTACGTCAGCCTGAACACCTAAATTCAGCCAATCATATATCAACGGTCATCTGTCAATCACATTTTTTCAGTCATAGCATTTTGATTCATATGTCGCAGCTAATATACGCAACGGTTGAAACCAGAATCCTTTCCTTTCCCATTGAGTTGCGTCCCAGTGTTCACGGGGATGGACGTCTGTGTCTTCGGCAGGCGTAGAGCTAACAGAACTGGCAGCGTTGCGAGGCAAGGGCTCAAACATGTACGGCTGGAAGCCTTCTACACCAAACCAAGCTTCTGCCGCCCTGGCGTCCTCTTCCACAACATCTTCGTCCTCGCTTTCCTCCTCTAAATAAAAAATGGATGACGGAGGAGACTCATCCACGACCTCCCACACTAAACTCTCCTCCTCTTGCATGTTTCCTCTGTCCATAGCGTTCCTTGACAGCGTCGTTTCTAAGTCACCGATTTAGTGCTATTTGGTCCCAATGGAATTTCCCAATGGGAAATTCCATTGGGACCAAGTGAAGTGAAATTAAGTGAAAACAGCTTTGGAGGAAAAAAAAACAAAGGGGTGGGGGGGTGACCGACTGGGAGCCTTTAGCCACGTGGAGATCAACAGCAACAAAAACGGCTTTAAAAACATCCCTCCGGATAAAGATTCATGTTTCCCTCACAGTGTGAGAGCAGTTATCTCTTTGATGATTACTGCTGTGATGATAATTGATTATTAAACGATGACACATCAGTGGAACCAGAAACATAAAAAGCTATGGAGAAGAGAACTAATGGGCGTCGATGAACAAAATTAAATGGTGGTCACTGTATGCGACCATGTGGATATTCACATGGTCCCCCTCGTTTCTCCAGCCTGGGTGTGGTGGGTGCAGACAGATGTCATAATTCATCCCAGCTTGCTACACTGTAAACAGGAGGTAAGAGCAAAACCAGTCATCTCAGGCCTGCGGACGATCCGGCCAAAAACCATAAAGAGTCCCGTGGGCGTCTGAAGTTCAGGAGAAGCAAAAGTTATTCCAGACGCTCATCCGTTCTCACTGTTCTTACAGAATTCGTAGTTGATGAATATTTGTAGATGACAACCTTTCTAAAAGTGGCTGAAAGAAAGAGGGGCATAATTAGATGTATGTCATATAAAATAAATTATGAAACATTTGAGTTTTCAGGGAAGCTGAGGGCAGAAAAGATCTGTCTTAGAGAATCAGTGTCCAGAAAGGTGACTCCTGTTTTATTACGCAAAGGAATTTCTCTCCACTACAAGATACACTATATTGACAAAAGTATTTGCTCACCCATCCAAATTATTGGAATCAGGTGTTCCAATCACTTCCATGGCCACAGGTGTATAAATTCAAGCACCTAGGCATGCAGACTGTTTTTACAAACATTTGTGAAAGAATGGGTCGCTCTCAGGAGCTCAGTGAATTCCAGCGTGGAACTGTGATAGGATGCCACCTGTGCAACAAATCCAGTCGTGAAATTTCCTCGCTCCTAAATATTCCACAGTCAACTGTCAGCTGTATTATAAGAAAATGGAAGTGTTTGGGAACGACAGCAACTCAGCCACGAAGTGGTAGGCCACGTAAACTGACGGAGCGGGGTCAGCGGATGCTGACGCGCATAGTGCGAAGAGGTCGCCAACTTTCTGCAGAGTCAATCACTACAGACCTCCAAACTTCATGTGGCCTTCAGATTAGCTCAAGAACAGTGCGCAGAGAGCTTCATGGAATGGGTTTCCATGGTCGAGCAGCTGCATCCAAGCCATACATCACCAAGTGCAATGCAAAGCGTCGGATGCGGTGGTGTAAAGCACGCCGCCACTGGACTCTAGAGCAGTGGAGACGCGTTCTCTGGAGTGACGAATCGCGCTTCTCCATCTGGCAATCTGATGGACGGGTCTGGGTTTGGCGGTTGCCAGGAGAACGGTACTTGTCTGACTGCATTGTGCCAAGTGTAAAGTTTGGTGGAGGGGGGATTATGGTGTGGGGTTGTTTTTCAGGAGCTGGGCTTGGCCCCTTAGTTCCAGTGAAAGGAACTCTGAATGCTTCAGCATACCAAGACATTTTGGACAATTCCATGCTCCCAACTTTGTGGGAACAGTTTGGAGCTGGCCCCTTCCTCTTCCAACATGACTGTGCACCAGTGCACAAAGCAAGGTCCATAAAGACATGGATGACAGAGTCTGGTGTGGATGAACTTGACTGGCCTGCACAGAGTCCTGACCTCAACCCGATAGAACACCTTTGGGATGAATTAGAGCGGAGACTGAGAGCCAGGCCTTCTCGTCCAACATCAGTGTGCGACCTCACAAATGCGCTTCTGGAAGAATGGTCAAAAATTCCCATAAACACACTCCTAAACCTTGTGGACAGCCTTCCCAGAAGAGTTGAAGCTGTTCTAGCTGCAAAGGGTGGACCGATGTCATATTGAACCCTATGGATTAGGAACGGGATGTCACTTAAGCTCATATGTGAGTCAAGGCAGGTGAGCAAATACTTTTGGCAATATAGTGTATTTCTGTAATGATTAATAATTTAGTCTCCACTTTGCTAAACAAATTCCCAGTAAATGTTTTCATCATAGATCAGTAGAGCTATTTTCTTTCAATGATAGTAAGATATTACAGCAGCAGTTTAATGAACTACACATAAATAAAAAGCTTCTCTCTATAACATTTAGATTAGCATCCTTAATCTCCACAGCTATGGGGAAAAAGAGGTAAAGCAAATTGCTTAAAAAAAGGAACCAAACTTTAGATAGTTGAATTTGACCCATCCAGTCACTATAGCAGGAATTACAACACCAGAACCGCAGCAGAGTTTTCAAAACAAATAAAAAAAGGGGTTAAAAAGTATGTTTTACTGTAAAAGAGTCAGGAGAGAAAAAAATCTAATGTTAATGTAGCAGAAAAACTGCCTCTCTTGGCCTCTCAGAGGAATAATTCAATTCAATTCAGTTTATTTCTATAGCTCCAATTCACATCATATCATCTCAAGGCACTTTCCAGTTCACCAGATCATCCAGTCAGATTGATTTAATGTTTTTTTATCTAAGGAAAACCAGCTGATTGCATCGACTCATTGACTCTTCAGCAATCCCTCACACTAAGCATGCTTGTAGCGACAGTGGAGAGGAAAAACTCTTTTTTAAGAGGAAGAAACCTCCAGCAGAACCAGGCTCAGTGTGAGCGGCCATCTGCTGAGGCCCACTGGGGTTCAAGGAGACAGAAGCAGACATAGAAAAAGAAGCATAGATACAAAAGGCAACTGTCAACCAGCTCCACAGGCGGCCCCGTCCAGGAAACACACAGCCAGGCAGACGAGCTCCGAGCCAGCTCCCATGTCAGAGGATGAAGAGAGCACATCCAGTTAGTCATGATGATGGTTTTTAACTTCAGCCTCCCTATGCTGCTTCTCTGGCCACCACTGAGGCCTACCTTCCCGTGTGCTCCGCATAAAGGCTTATCTTTACGACTACCAAGTTAGAATATTTGACAAAAATGAAATGTCAAAGATATAACTTAAACAGAACCAAAACCATGACAAAAACATATAAACTAAACAGTCAAACCGTAATAAAAACTGATATCTTTTACCTTTACACATTACAAAGTCCTGGATACAGTTTCTCTACTGTGTGTAGATTAAGGTTCCTTCTAATTCTTCCTTTAGGGTCATACTGTCTTGGCTTACGTATGACCAAACAAGATGTCATGACATCTCACAGTGTAGGTGGGACCAAACGATGGTAAATATTTTTCCCAGCACCAGAAAATTATTTGCAGGTTTTACGGTTTGATAATAAAGATGTTTTGTTGGTTATTAAAGGATTTGTTTTTGGAGAAATGTTTGGAATTTCTTATTTTTTGGGCCATGGGGGATTGTAAAAGAAAAATCGAGAGGGAACGAGGATAGAAAGGAAAGTCCTTCCAGCCCTTTTGGTCAATTAGAATGTAGAAAACAGACAGCAGGAATGGAAAAGTTGTAATCCATTCCAAGCGGGGGGAATGTCAGCACAGACCAAACAAATTATTCTTTATGCTTCAAAAGGAAATCCTGAGGGTTTGAGTTGTGATAGAGCAGCTCGTCTTTATTTGGCTGGCAGTTGCCATCTGGTATGAGGATACTAACAATACAACCAATGACTCAGCTTTTGTTAAAGTTTTATAGATCAGCTCTCTAGTGTTGAGGCTGATTTGATGAGAGGCCTGGCGTTTATTCTCTTTCCGTCTGACAATATAAGGTAAATCTGGACCCTGGATCAAGCAAATGATGAACAGAACACATGGATTTTCTCCGTCTTGTGTCGGACTTGTTGATGGAGCTCTCGATCAGGGGAAGCCATCATTCAAGCAAACCTATTTTATGATTGTTTTCCGTAGATACAGGCTTTGAAATCCGGGGGACGGAAGGCTCCTCGTGGATGAACTAACTTTAGTGTCACTACAA